CGTCATGATCAGCTTATCTTACCTTGTTTGCGAGGAAGAGGTCCTTTGATCCGCTCATTAGACAGTTAATGTTCTCCACATTATCGTAGTGGAACACTGACTTGGTACCCCCACTGCTGAACCACATCACAGCATCGCGCAGGTACTTTGTGAATCCTCCACAGAGCATGCACTTGAGGAGTTGAAAGTCCTCTGAAAGAGACACACAAAAAAAGTACACATCACATTGTCTGCTGGATTTCCCCCGTACTCCTTGATACTTTCATTTGCTTCCTTGTTATTGAGCACCTTTGCTCGTTTGGTAAGGATGTATATCGATGTCTGCTGTTGCACAACGCCTGTGTTACACAGCGGTTCAATACAAAATCCAACAGTTTGAGATGGATAGCGCAGAGCTATGTTCCGCTCTTCACAGCCCAGCGCGGCTGGTGCTAGGGCTGCACACCTCTCGACCCGCTATAAGTACCACCAAGACGATATAAGCTCCCCAGAGTGTGCCACTCTGGATACCCTTTCTACGGGGTCTGCTGACGGCGAAAACTCACATCACGTTGTTTTAATGTTCCCATTGTACAGTCCCAGCACGTTTTTAGTGACCAATGGAGTTGAAACATTAGCACTCCCGACAGAAATCCACTCTGTTTATGCGAGTCATCAGCATGATTATTCGGACAGCACGCACTCTAGCCTTCGTTGTACGTAGTACAAATCATATTTTGAACACACGATGTAACTTCGCCGTCAGAGACCCTGCATGCAGAGTTGCACACTCTTGGGAGCTTATTTAGTCTCGGTACCACATGTATAGTCAGTAGGTTTGACTTCATTTTCCGCCACTGCGCTTAGTAGAACACCCTACTGATCATACCAAGCACATGTTGTACAGAAAGATACATCTGAAGCTTGACAGCGTTCTGGTCCTGCCTTTCAACTGCTACTGGCTGTGACTACTAGCATGCTTTTCAATCAATAACTGTATTGTCCGTTGCGATGGCAAGATGATCATGGAGGCTTAGTCCCTCGTCAATTACTTGTACTAGTACTGTTACACCCGATCTACAGAGCTACAGTGCTACACAAAGAAATACGATTGTACGAGTCAAGAAAACTGCCGGCGTACCCTGTGCAGACGCAGACTTGCCAACACTGGGCTGTGTGCTGTGTGCTGAACATTTAGTCATGAGATAGGATTTCCGACTTGAAGCACTGTAGATGTGGCCAGCCGCATTTCCCTTTCATGGCAATATTCCGTTTAATAGGATAATAGACCAGGTGCAGGCATGCTCGAGTCATTCTTATCGATATCTGTCTTGGTGGTGGTAATCCGTGGACTTCCAATTCAGTCGTATTGTCGCAGTATGGAATTAGTCAGACATGGAACCTCGTCACTGTGACAGAACACACTGTTGCTTTCTCGCTTGGTATTTTCAACGTATTTACTCTAGTGCTGGACTATATACTCCTGCAAGTATAAAAAATAGTACGGTCTGAAAAGCCTATTATTTTAAATTGAAAAACATTGTACTATAGAATGGGTAAAAAAAGAGAAGAAACACATGAGAACGAGTTATGCAGCAACTATCCACGACTGTCAGAAAGTGCGATAATATGTGTCTCATGTGTTTCTTCTCTTTTTTTACATTTTATTACTGGCTCAGTATCCGAGTGTAGAATGGGTAATCTTAATTTTAGCGTTTTCTGAATCTGGGCCTATTCGCGATGAAATATTTTAGCTGAGATGTTGAGCCAATGACTGTAATGATGGAAAAAAGGACTAAATCTCCTTCTAGTGTCAGTTTTATGCCATGTTGTTGAACTCGCCGCTGACTGTACAAGATCTAAGATCTGGTTACGTTGGTGTACAGTTAGTCATAACATGTTGTCCTTCCCTTTAGGCCACCTAGAATTAATTCGTTGTTTCGGGTCACTCCACTCATCTGTACCAGGGTCGGTCGGTCGGGGTCATTTATTTATTTATTTTTATTTTGGTAACTGCCATGTGCATACATCATGTGACAAATTCACAATGTAGATTGTGCATATCGAAAATCCAAGATGTGTCCATCAAGCCACTCGACCAAATATAACTGTAGACCATGGTAGATCCAGCGCAGCCATATTGTCCCATCAGGGCCAGGTCCACTCCAGGACCAGATCTTGGCCTCGCTGGCAAACGAGCGAGCAGCTCTAACCAAAACTTATGTCGATGAGCGACAAGGTGGCAGGGTTGAGGCTGTTTCCGGACTGATTGCGGATCGGAGATAATAGAAGACAACGTCGTCACCGACCGCTAGCGCTGCATCCTGTCATTTGGCTGCTTCCGAGGTCGATGTCTAGACTGCTGAAAATCGATGTATGTATGTCACCCGTGTAACAATAGTACATTTGCATGCACAATTTAAAAAAAACATTTTGCGGTCGGGTGACCCGAAACTACGAAGTAATTCTGGGTGGCCTTACCCAAGTATTTTAGCGATCCGAGTTTCAGAGTTTAAAAATAAAGAGGACTTGTACTGTACATCCAAGATTTTGATTGGAACGGAAAAACTTTAGCGAAAACACTCCTTTCACTAAAATAACTAAAATATCACCGGCGCTAAAAATACCTGTTTTACAATAATCCACAGTCAGTGTGTGAAGATTCCAAATGGCTTGGCCCGACTAGCTGGGAAACCAGTTGACTCTGGTCAGGATCTTGGATGACTGGGGTCAGGATCCCGGGTAACGAGTGCTAGGATCCCGTTTGGCATGTAATTATACGACTTTCAATGTGTTTGGGTATACGCCCTGATACCTCAGCCAAGGCTCAGGTGCAGAAGGGCTAGAGGAGGGCCAGCCAGCCTACTGTCCAGCCCAGCATGTAACATAGTTCATGCTAACTAAGAATGCGTTGCTTTCAAAAGCACGCAATGCCATGGTACATGCCCAGGCTGTCCTTCACTCCATACTGCACTCGTGGCTAAAATATTCATGTACTACCCTGTGATCATGGTGATATCGTACCATAGTAAATTTAAAATAATGTTATCTTACCACGCATAGGCGGGGGAAGAGTCTCCACCATGTACTCATCCGAAGCCATGTAGCGTTTTACAAATGTTTTCAGCTGAATGGTACTGGTCCCCTCTGAGCGATTCTCCTTCTTGCCGTGCTCCGTCATCACAATTAGATGGCCAAATTTCTCCGTCAAGTACTCATCGTTCCATAACTTATACGCTCTACTGCCCTTCGTTGCACCTCTCAGCAGCACAGGCTTGCTCGCCTTTACGTAGTTCTCGTAGAAGTCAATGGGATGTGGAACGTAGTCAAGTATCTCTACGTCGCCATCCGGTGGACGATGCGATCCGAGTGGCTTCAGATGTCCGGAACGGTCCGCTGCCATCTTGTCAATGTCGCTACTTGCGGTGCTTTCCTCGCTACTGCATTTGACGGACGAATGGAGAAGTGCAAGTGATACTATTACTACCAGCAACACACCTACAGGTATGGGATGAAGAGACATTCTGCCGAGGCTGGTGGTCATCGTTTGGGGAGAAGAAAAATAACAATGGCAGCCGAACACAAATTGCCAAACTGGAATACTAGTATTGCCAGTTCTTATCGACTATTTAGAAAGAAAAATAATAATAATTGGAGTGCAGAAGAAGTGTTGCACGTTGCGTGCATGCATGCACCGCGCACGGCATGCTAGCTACATGACTATACTGAGTATACTACAGTACATGACAGTGTATAGAGTAGATTTTTATAATACAATCGAATCATGTAGTACCAGTTACGTAACCAGGTGGTAACGTCATTAGTACATTACACTTTACAGTCCATTCAGAAAATGATGATATCCTAGCTTTTGGCCATAAAATTAAATGGGTCAAATTTTGAGTTTTTGTCACAATTTTTTTGGCAATCCCCCATGGAATGCTCTTCCTTTTTTGAAGTCTATTTCTCCAAAGAGCAAGCCATAACAAGAATAGGATTTCGGCCAGGTTTTGCCCCCAAAGCATTGAATCGGGGAAAAGCCACGAAAATCCAACCCGCGCACTCCACTTGCAGAACAGTACATTTGCGGTTCAAACCCCAGTTGAGGTACCTTTTTTGGACCCTTTTTCAAGTTTCGAATCTCGCTGCACTGGCAAAATCACCAAACACGGGACTCGCGGCTCTCCAGAGCCAGCGCTCATCTTTTTCTGAATGGACTGTAGGATTCTGTAAGATGACACCTGAATCATGTGAACACTGTACTCTCAGCCTAGGCTACAGTACAGTTCATTCATTGGCCTAACTGTTACTAGGTTACTTTTTTTGGTGTCTCCCGCACATTCACTGATGTTCAATTACGTAGTTGGAAAACAACAGTACATCCTGCACTGTGTGACCCGTGCCACATACAATGTAATTTGAGGCCAGAAAAGTCCAAGAACAGGAAAATAGAAATTCAGCCAGGTTTTATAAATTGGGACAGGTATGCCATGGCAAAATGTATGGAGAAGCAAATCCCAAACCCAGGTTTTTGAGATTGAAAGTGGGGTTTTGATCCTCAATTCAGTCCAAATTGGACTTTCAAAAGCCTGCGGGAATGTTTCCGATGAATGGACCATGATGGACTGTAGCCTGAAATAAATGGCTAGATCAGTGCCAGTGGCCTTTCATGGCTCGTGTAAGACTCGCTCAGTCTGAGTTTTCCGGCATCCGCACAAACATCACCACCCTCTGACTCAAGGAACAAGGCGCAGAGGCAGCTCCTAAGGGCCCGGTCACACATGCACTCGAAAGTAGCGTATACGCTGAAGCGAGGTCGCAGGAGCGAAAAATGGCATGGCAACGGCGAAAAGCGGAACTTCCGCTTCAGCGGAAACTCCAATCCGCTTCCGCCAAAATTTTCGAAGCGAGACTGTCGCTTCTGCGGATTCGCTTCAGCGGAAAACACCACGGTCTGCTGTATATGGACTTGCTACGAGAAATTTGTATGTGTATGATGTCCATGCAACAAAAATGCGTGCAAGATAGTCATTGACCTCGTCCATTCTCCGTACTGTATGCACCACAGTCCACTAACTCTCATTTTTCCGCCAAAGTAGGAGTTGTGCCCTGTTTGCATGTGTGACCATGCACACGTGGTTTCGCTGGAGCGACACCAGGCTCGCTGCCGAAGCGAATCCCAGTTCATGTGTGACCGGGCCCTAAAGCGGTGGGAGGCGAGTAGATCAGACTCACTACAGTCATAGTATTCGAAGAAAGAAAACTCCATCCGTTGCCTAGTATCACTATCAGTTAAATCAAGCAAACAGAACGTACGTTATGGTGGAAATGGTGGAGTGAACTGCAATTGCGTATTTTCATGCGCTCAGTGGCACCTCAAAGGGTTAAGGAATTCGCAGCATGGTGGGAAAATCCTTCCTCCTCAAAGCAGGACTTTAACCCTGCCAACCTTTGTTTCTAAATCATGGCTTTAGACGATCCCACTACAATCGTATATACGGCATGCCTGCATAGAACATGAGCCATGCAACGACGCTGAACCCGGAGTCCAATTTGCTCATGAATCATGATGAAACTCACCGTGTTGAGCTTACGCTGATTTTACTTGCAAACTTCCAATTTGATAACTGTTCATGAGCGCAGAGAAAATGCAAACGGTTTTGCGGCTGAGGTAATTGGACCCACTTTGAAGTAAAACAAAACTCTCCCCATGTTTCCACAAGCTCAGGGCTCATTATACAGAGACACTGCGACGGGATAGGTAGTTTCTACTTCAAAGTATACTACGAATGTGAAAGGAGTATGCAGCAAACGCTAAAATTTAATGCAATAACTCTAAAAGAGCAGCAAATGAAGTTTGCAATAAAAACATGATACACAATGTCATGCAGATGTTGCATTGAAGTAAAGTGCACACCATGCATCAAGAAGCGCAGAACTAATGCTCAACGGCCGTACAGCAAGGGTAAAGACTAGAACTAATGCTCAACGGGCATACAGCAAGGGTAAAGACTAGCACAACAATCAAATCGTCCAAGAAAACTGACTTGTAGTGAAAGGAACAAAAGGCAACTAGAGGGGTAACCAGTAGTCCTGGAGCGAATACACCGAAATAATCCATTACTAACAACAATACTGAGAATTGATTAGATGGTGTCAGGCATATCATGAAATCAGCATACCTAGATTGATGAGAACAAAGGCTTACCGTTGAAGGGAGGAACAAGGAGCATGCTGGCCAGGATCCAGCACCTGCATGCAAGGGAGGAACAAGGAGCAGGCTGGCCAGGATCCAGCACCTGCAGCTGCTTAGCTCATGATGTAGTTCTTCAGCAAGTCGGGCAGAGGTAGGTTATCGACCATCGACTCCAACTCATCAGCACTGGACAACTGGCTGTAAACTGATTGGCGACACAGTGATGATAGTGTAGCTGCTCCACACCCACTGCTTGTCAGCATCTGAAGAGACACGCTCCGTTGCTCTGCACTCATCACCACATGGTCACAAACTGTGCCATCATGAAGGTGGCCGTCCACCCATGGTATATGGGAAAGACTCTTCAGCCATGGTACATTGCCCTCTTCAAGCAGCAACTTTGCAATCTCATCTTCTTCATCTCCATCAACAGCACAATACCTCAGTACGACTGGTAGAAGGTGAAAGGGAGACAGTTGGGAGACAACACCATCACCTTTGGCTCTTGTTTTGTCGTCTTGGAACAATTTGCTGTGAGCAATTGCTTCAGGACATATGGACGGTGAAGGCTGAGTGAACAACTGGCGGTCAATGGCAAGCACTGGCTTGGCGAGAGTGTTGTAGTGCTTAGGATATATCTTTCGTTTTTCAGCTGTGCCCTCCTTGCATATCCTTGTGATCAGCTTGTGCAAGACGGATAACTGCACAAAATCCCAGCCAATGGCATGGCCACCTGCTCTGATCACGGACAGAGCAAGTTCTCCTGCAGGAGCGGTCTGGGTGGGTGACACACTGTCGTCAAGGGCGATGAGAACAAGCATGGTTTGCAGGACCACGGCCTTGCACACATGTTCTTCAAATGTGATACAGGGTAGTGAGAGAAACTCAGTGGCGGATCCAGGACTTGGCCGAAGAGGGGGCCCAAGGTATCCCCCCCCCCCCCCCCCCAAACAAAACAACAAATACAACAACAACAAAGTCCTGAAGTTGTGAAGAGCTGTTGTATAAACTTTTATTCCATTCTCACGACATTTTCAAACTGCGCGGGAACATTTCCACTCGACAGCGGCCGCGACAGACCTTTGGACGGCTCTTCAACGCGAGCTCTCTTATCTACCGGTCCACTGAAGAACGACCTGATGTCGGACCCTCTCCTCTTCATCGCATGTCTGAAGGTAACCCGTTGGCTACAAGCGAAGTAGAGAGCTAGAGAGCGTTTAGTTTCTGACAAGTGAAAAAGAAAAAAGGAAGGACGATGTCGACAGCACCGTACCGTGCATGCACCATACAGGACTTCAGCCCAACGCGATCGCTGCACTATAGTATGTACCAGGCCCTGCATTTTTGGCACGTTTTTCACATGTTTGAAGTGCGGCCGTGTCCTCAGGTCGCAGTGCGTACAGACTAGTTGTACACAGCGCGCTGACTAGTACAGTGCGTAGACAGACTTACACCGGACACGTATAAAAGTACCCAGCACGCGTGACCCACTTGGCACGCCAAGTCATTTCGAGCGCTCATTCTCATGTTCTACCATGTTCTACAGTCTACTGTAATCCTAGACCAAGGTCGAAATTTTCAAAGGGGGGGCCCAGGCCCCCTGGGCCCCCCCCTGGATCCGCCACTGAAACTGACGTGCAGCCACTTGCTCCAGCATGGTGGTGAAAAGTCTGCGCACACTAAGGCATTTGTCTAGCCATCGTACTACTCCAGGCTGCCAGCAGAAATGCAGGTCACCGTCATCGCTCTTTGGACCAAAGAGGACGGCGAAGATTGCTTCTAGTATCGGTACTGGATTTTTACCAGCGCAGTGAATGGCCTCCAGCATCTTCTGATCACCACGAGCAGCCCGCCATGGCGATTCTTCGAGGTAGAGAGAGTTGAAGCCTAGTACGGTGCAAGACATCACATGAGCACCTGCCTCCGCCAAGATCCTGGCTATTTCAACTTCTCCCAGAGCTGCTGCAAACCACAGCGGCGTCATACAATGTTGTGTGGCCTCCAGTAGGACACCCCAGTACTGGACCATACATGTAGTGCCACCCATACTGTAGATGTTAGGGTCTGCACCAAGTGCAAGCAGAGTTCTTACACTCTCTACTTGTCTGCCTAGCACAGCATAGTGCAATGCACCATAGCTACTTTCACCACAGCACTGATCTCGGCACTTCTTTGTACGCTCTGAACGACTGATGAGAGCAGCCAGCTTCTCCTCGTCGTCACACGTGGCCTTGTCCAATTGTTCACCCGTGTCCTCCACCGCTAAGTCAAACAATGACTCGCGGATCTTCGCCACGTCACCACAGCATACTGCTGGCAAAAAGGTGTTGCGCCAAAGGTCTCCCTCCGAAATGTCATAGCCATGGTGGCAAGTTGCATTGTGCTTTGTCTGTGCCGTAAGTTCATCCCCTTGAATTGGAGCTCGTCGATATTTCATAATCCTCTCCGCATCTTCGGACAATTTCTTTGAGAGCTGCTCCATATAAGACAGGAGTCTCTCGTCAATTTTTTTAACAAACTCCCATGACATTGCTAGACCTCCCTGCTCACCACGAGCGGATCTACGAATCGCAGCAAGAAGGAGCGATTGAGCGAATTAACCTTTACCGTTGTGGACATTGCATTTTGTAAGATCATAGTTCGAGCTCAAAACCTTGCTTGCTACCACATCATGCACTAGTATAGCTAAGCTGTCCCAAGTACAAGCACTACTTGTACAACTGTACTGGTCTGTAGTGCTACGGCTACACCAGCGCGAGGTAGTTTACCCTGTGAATTTAGACAGGACGTGGTATTGTTACCATTGTTGTTTACAGGGTTGTGCGTGCAACGATACACTACATGTAATAATAATATTCGCGGGATCCGCGTTAGCATCACTTGAATGTTCAGAAACACACAAGCTATAGCCTTCGGTCAACACTACATGTAGCATTCACAAAATCGGTCATGTAATTAATTTATTGTTTGTCAACTCACTGGTACATGGTATGGTCACGGGTACGGCCCGGGTGCAACGACGAGTTACGTCGACGCGTCGCGGGCGGTGCGTTGTCGTGCCAGGGTACATTTCACGGTACTTCCCCGCGGAGCCTAGCCTAGCCTGCATCGCACTGAGATGAGAGTCTGTGTGAAGTGCGTGGCTGCGCGTACATAGTCATACCGGTAATCATGGTAATACTAGATCTACCTTGAAAGTACATACCGTGGCCACGCGTGGGTAGATAATAGATAATTATTATGTATCTACACATGACTGTGTAGTACTAGTACTAGTAGTAGTCTACTAGTACTACCAACTAAAGACGTAAAGTAACACGTTAGTTAGTTACTTACTTTAATACCCGGTAAAGATTAGAACAATAGTAGCGAATACCATGTCCTGCTCAATGAAATAATTCAGTCTTGGTCAAGATCCCCCTCCAAAAGCCGCGCGGGCTAATAGTAGTATACTAGTAATACCAGTAATGCCGCGACCGGCGGCGGCGTGCCGAACCAATCGCCATCCACTATACTTATAATTATTGTTACATGTACTTTGAAACTACATGCACTTACATTTTTGGAAGTAAGTTACGATAACGAGAGCTGCTACTGTTGCTCAGCTAGCATACTGTTTGTGAACTGCTGGCCTGCTGCCTAGGCTAATGACTTCAGTCTCGCCAGTACGGAATTCTTCTTCTTATTTCCTATCTGGCACTTCGAGACACAGAGGTATTAGCCCGCGCGGCTTTGGACGGGGATCTTGACCAAGACGGACTCCACAGCACGCCGCTTGAGGATGGAGGGACTTTTCTTAGGTTACGACAAGAAGATGCTCTCTTGTGTTGAAGAGTTGAACCGGGAGGTGTCCGTCGCTGCGGAAAGTGAAATACCGAAAATCACCAATTCAAAGCGATGGTAGCTTTTCGTAAGCACGAAAGCTTCGAAAGGCAATGCCACCATGGCTATGACATTGCGGTGGGAGACCTTTGCCTGGCTTTGGCGTAACACCTTACTCTGGACCTTAGTGCCCGCACCATGTGTAGGTCTACGTGTGTGCTGTGGCGATGTGGGCAAGCTACGGCAGACACTATAATAAGACAACCTGTCAATGGAGGATGCGGATAAACCAGTGCCCACGAGGAAGTAATATTTGGAACCAGTGGCCAAAAAGGAGTATGAACTGAGTGATAACAAGGTTTGCATCAAACAGTACTGTCCTTTGGGAGGTTACGCTCTTCTTCACTAGGCTGTGCTGGCCAGACAAGCAGAGAGTGTGCGCACTCTGCTTGCACCCATGCAAACGTCAATGTCTTGGGCATGGGAAGCAACACGTATATGTGCTCTTACTGGAGTCTCCGACTTGGTGGGGGAATGCACTGCAACACTCCACTCTGGTTCGTTGTAGCTCTGAGAGAAACAAGCATCGTACAAATTCTTGTGCAAGCTGGAGCACATGTCTTCTCAAGCACTGTGATTGCTTTTCAATCGAAAAGCATGATGCGATCGGCATGGACACTTTCGCTCGGTGATAAGACCATGCTGGAGGTGATCCACGACAATGGTAACAACCCAATGCCGATACTGGAAGCAATCTTCGCTGTCCTCTTCAGTCCAAAGAGCAATGATGGTGACCTGCATTTCTGCTGGCAGCCTGGAGTAGTACGGTGGCTAGACAAATGCCTTAGTGTGCGAAGACTTTTCAACACCATGCTGGAGCAAGTGGCTGCACGTCAGTTTCTCTCACTACCGTGTATCACATTAAATTTTGGAGATTTTTGTGCAAGGCCGTGGTCCTGCAGACCATGCTTGTTCTCATCGCCCTTGACGACAATGTGTCACCCACAGAGACCGCTCCCGCAGGAGAACTTGCTCTGTCTGTGATCAGAGCAGGTTGCCATGCCATTGGCTGGGATTACAGGGGACTTCTGACTGATACCTATGATGTACATGACTTATAATTGCCACGATTTGTAGAGAAGAAACCTTGAAGGACCGGAAGAGATATCCCGACCACTATACCAGATTTCCCAAAATGAAAATGTTTTACCTTGACGATGCTCTCTTCACCAAGCCTGCATACTGTGTGCGCCCATCAGCAGTTTCTCGGTCCGGCGGAGTAGTTTTTCACAAGCCGTGTTGGAACTGGGGGCAGCAGTGATGGGGACACTGCTGATGACTACTCACCATGGTCTCCGTTTCACCCGTTCTACCCGTGGTACTGAGGTATTGTGCTGTTGATGGAGATGAAGAAGATGAGATTGCAAAGTTGCTGCTTGAAGAGGGCAACGTTCCATGGCCGAAGAGTCTTTCCCATATACCATGGGTGGACGGCTACCTTCATGATGGCACAGTTTGTGACCATGTGGTGATGAGTGCAGAGCAACGGAGCGTGTCTCTTCAGATGCTGACAAGCAGTGGGTGTGGAGCAGCTACACTATCATCATTGTGTCGCCAGTCAGTTTACAGCCAGTTGTCCAGTGCTGATGATTTGGATCTCCTCCGGGCACCTTCTCGGCATTTCATGATGTTTTAATTGAAAAAGAACTTTTGGGCTGTGTGTTCCAGGGTTCTAGCCAGGTCAAAATAGTGAGGCGGGGGCATGGGAAACAGTTACACCGTATCCCACTTTTCCACTTTCCAATAATTATTGTCTTGCCACGCTACATGCAACGTATGGCCGAATCACCGACTTCGCTCCAGACAAATGCGCCTTTATGGACTGTCTAATAGTGACGTTTGACTGCATTTTCGTTCAATTGCATGAAAAACACGAAAATCGGAAAATGAGTAGGGGGAGGGGGGGGGGCGCTGCGCCCCCCCCCCCCCCCCCAATACACACACACACACACACACACTTGCTTGAATGCTCTTCCATGCCTGAAGATAACTATCAGTTCAAGCAGGGAGTTGTGACAACCCACGACTCCCTGGTTCCAAAACATTCTACAACCATCCACAATGAATACACCGCTCGATTACACAGATTTCACTGTCAGAATTGACGGAATCCAACTTCCGCCCGTTCCGAAGTGGATGGCTTGTCTCTTGGTTGCTCGCTCAGCAGGGAGATTGAGTGCTCTTACTGAGAAAAGTGACTTGGATTCACTGCCTAGTATTGTCAAGAGAGACAGCGCAGTGAAACAATTTCTTTGTGTTTGACCAGGGAGTGGTAGTCATGACAACGCGTCATACGCAGTGCCTTCTTGGCAGCCAGCAACAATTTCCCCTCGGTGATGTCACGGGCAGCAATCTGAGTTTTGGAACCATTCTTATTCCTGACGTGGCAGCCATTGTCAGTAGATATAATAGCATTGCTTGGTGGAGAAATTGATAGAAAAACTGCTTTCGGAAATAAATACAATGAATAAAGGCACCGAGATAGGCTTGGTCTGTGAGCAAGGCGTTCAGTGCAATAAAACGCCTGAGCGAAAACAGGAACTTGAGCCAATAATGAAAGGCACGGAAAAGAAGCACAGGCACGAGCCCGGCAGCGGGCGTGGGCAGATCGCGTTACCAGGAGTGACTGCAGGCATTCACTCTTAAAGCAACATTGCAGAAGTGTGAACGATACCGACGGCGGCGGCAACGACTCCTGATGGCATAATTCTATCGTTGACATCGAGCCTAATGGTAGCACTCGTACAGCGGGCAGGAAGCCGGGCAAGCACTCCAAAACACAACGCAAACACCCAGGAAGCAAGACTGAAGTATGCAGTGCTCATGGCGATTTCGGCTATATCAGAATGCGCTCAAGTTGCGCTCAATTCAACAAGCAAGCGGTGGTGAATTCAGCAGATGCACCGTGCCGTGCTAGTCATTCTGGCAAATAACATACCAAGACGCCAGCCACCAAAAGACGGTGTAAAGTGTTTCGGTCCTGAAGCAAAGCCACATAGCAGTGTGGCCGAGCGCGGCGACGCACAACCCTATCCACTAGAGTAAGAGCATGGCAGATTAGCAATGCCGCCGCCGCTATGATACCGATTGGATAAATGTATGCAGCCAATGCACAATGAGCGGGCCACAGTGATCTGCTAATCTGAGTTCATACCCGGAACCATAGTGGTAGACGGCGTCCGTCGATGCGTGGCCATTGGAGACGGGGCTGGCTGCACGGAGCTCTTGGCGGCCAGCTTATCCTTCGCCTTGCGCACCACACCGCGCAGCGAAGGGCTGTCAATCGATGCCGCTCGTGCCCTCGGCTGGCGCTGCGTGGCCGCTGAACTGCACACTTCCTGCATCCACTTCTCGCCAACAGGTATCTTGCGCTTGAGTGACTGGCGTCGACCCATTCCACCACCGTGAAACTCTGGCGAGGCCCGGCCATTGTAGCCACTGCCAGACCTTGGCGGTGCCAGGAAGCTGTTTGTTGTGTTGCTGCTAGCGCTATCCTCACCAGCTGGCAGGCCACTTGATGGGTGACGACCGCCTCGCGGGATGTTATCCATAGTTGGTGGGATAACCATGGCTTTGATAGCCTTTGCTTCTCGCAGGTGAGTGACGACCTCCTCCATTGGCTGACCGTACACGGGAATGCCATCCATGGAGATGATACGTGAGCCTTGGCGAATGCCAGCAGCATACCCGGCGAGTCCCTCGATCACCTCACTCACAACACCATCACTGTGCACGATGAAGCCATAGTCGGTGTTGTCTTCCTTGCGCAGTAGGAGCTCAATAGCAGAGCTGCCCTTGCTGCACGCATTCAGTCGAACAACAATTTCTGCCACGGCTTCATCAGACAGGACAGGGCCACAGTTAGCAACAAATGACACGTAGCCATTACCTCGATAGAAGAGCCGCATTGCCTTGCCGTCCGAGATCCAGCCTGCAATGTTGTCGGGTGGAATGTTGCATCGTACCATGTGCAGCTCGGGGTCGAGGAAAGTGGCGCCAGAGTGGGAGATGCTGAGCAGACATTCGACTTGATGCTGCTCCACTCCTACACCCCAGTCAAGCACCACAACAGGCCACACCATTGCACCAGGTAAATGGAGAAGATCGACGGTGGTAGCCATTGGCAAGTTGGCTTGCTTGGACTTGTCCGCTGAGAGCTGCTTGCGCAAGCGTGACAGAAGGCTGCCGCCGCCACTCCCTTCCAGGCCCTGGCTGGTGGAGCGGTCCTTGGCCAGATTGGACAGATACTCGAAACGTGTGCGCATAGACATGTTGAAGAACTTCTGACAATTGTGTGCGGCGCTCTCTGCGTTGATCAACTTGGTGAGCATAAGCGAGCGGAAGTCCTTGCCGAGTGTGAAGATCGGTGTCGCTGGCAACGCTGGACTGAACGGTGGCATGTCTTTAGCCTGGGACACGGCGACTTGGTAGCGTGGCTTGCCAGTCTCAGGGCAGGAGGACATGCAGCGCACGACAAGGAAGACATGCTGGAACTGTGAGCGCATAACGGCTGGCGTGAACGGCAACGCATCCTCTTCCTGGAAGATGATGGTGACAATGTCATTGCCAATGTGCCTCTTGCGTAGCAATTGCTGCCTGTTGTTGGGTGTGTAGGGCAAGAGTGTAGAGACATGGAACATGATCTCCATCCCTTCGGATGTGGTGAAGTAGGAATGCTCACCGGTTGAGTCGTTCTTGTTATCAAGTTGCCCACGATACTGGCTGAAGCCACGCAACTCCACTTTCTCCGCCAAGCAATCCATGAACTCATAAAAACGACTTGAGCCTTCTTCATTGTTGTACATGTCTTCTTCAGTGCTCTGATTGGCCTTGCAGTAAACTACTCCAAACTTGTACTGTGCGCTGAGTCCCTGCTCGTCCAACTTAAGCAACGTATCAACCACCTTCTCGTCGGCCTGCCCGAAACGAAGAGACGAAAGCTGCACTTCTGGCGCAACAAACGCCACAATGTCGCGCACACTGATGCCGGGATTGTGCGGAGTGGGACGCAACTGAGCACCGGCCGCCACAATGCTGTCCTCCGAGACGGTGCCGCGTAGCACGGCGGGCCTGGCCGTGCGAACAATCACTCGGTACTGGTGCCGTATACCACCGGGCGAGTGCTGCACTGCTGCTGCAGTCTGCGTAGTCAGGCCATCTCGCCTGCTAGCCATGTCACTGGCATTGTAGCAAGACGTGCTTGTTATCTCCACTGTCTCTCGCCGTAATGAGATGGCCACTGGACCCAGGCCATCGTCGATGGAGAACAGGTTGATGTGCTCGTTGTCCGCAAAGAAGTGCCGGTAGTACAGGGCACCCATGTCGAAGTTGTCAAAGTGCAGCAATGTTGTGCCCTCCGCTTGGTGTCCACCAGAGGGCCGCCACAGAGGCAGCTGGCAGAATCGCCGTCGCTTGCGCTCCACATCACTGCTGTTCAGGTGTACGAGGGAGACTTCAAGAACTACGCCACAGCATGACTTGGGTGAGAACTCCAATGGAACCTTGCCGGATCTCTTCAGAGCACAACGCTTGAATGCATCACCACCCAGCTCATTCCAAAACTGCGGTGCAGCAAGGACTAATTCATTTCCGCGCATGTCACCAGCTTCCTCCGCGACTGAATGACCAATGGCTGATGCACCGCACGGTACATTGACGTTGAACGAGCGCTCACTGATGCCATAGGAGTCGGCCAAATTTGTCAGTGCGCTTGCTCCGTCGTAATGGGCGAACGATCGTCGACAATGCCTAGCAGCTGATTTGACAGCCAGTACGGATAAACGCTTGATGACCACGGCCTCTTCTTCGGTTCTCCGTGAAGCCTCGTCACCAGTGAATGACGAGGATGAGTTTTGGGACGACATACCACCCGCTGCCTTGCGACGGATACTCTGCCACACATGATCAGGATTGGAGTAGAAATTGTCCGATTCCTCCTCGCGTTCTGCAGCTGCCGTTCCATTGTCGTCGCTTGTGCTACCACTTGTCGACGGGCATGGGTTGTTGGCGCTAGTTATTTCCACCGAATCACAACTCAACGTAATCAGAGGTGTACAAGCAGCGTTCGGCTTCGTAGGACTGCTCGACAACGCACCTGAAAACACGTCGTCCAGTTGGCAACCTTTTTTTTCTGCCTCAGATCGGCCGCCAGTTGAATCTGACGGACTGTCGGGGAGGCCGTCCTCCGCGTCCGATCCCTGGTTTGAGCCTCCGCTTATCTCAACATCTATGCCCATAAGCTCGCTGTCGTTCTCGGCCTCTTCAACATTGCCATTTAGAGGTGTAGATCTACAGTCCATGCTGCGACACCCCTCACCACCACTTGCGCTGGATCTACTGCCACTGTTGGTGCCAGCTCACAGCACCTCACAGCACGCGCTCTCTACATGCGCATACAAAGCGCCGGTGCAAGTGAAGACGGAGCAGTAGTGCGTTTCTTGAGCTGATCCTCTCTTACCCACTGCACTCGAAGGCTCACTTAGCTCCAGTAGGCAGTACTCATCGATGCAGAATGCCTCAGTCACAGATCGAACCCTCTGATCGACTTCTTTCCCGCAGAGTCGCAAGGACTTCAGGTGCTCCCTGGCCCTGCTGAATTTGAGCAAGGCGATGTAAACACGGCGGACAGACCGTTTGCAGCCGCATGTCTTCGAGCTGTACGAGAGCGGGGTGCTAGACAGACAACCAACATCACGCTGCTGCAGTAATAAGGCGTCTGCTGCCAGTGTGCGTTGTGCGTTGTGCCATGCTGTCGTCCGTGTTTTGTCAGAAGTAAAATTTTGTGCGGACGCGAGCGGTCTCCAGTCTCCCGGAACCTAGAACTAACTAAGCTGCTGGTCGCTGAGTCGCTGGCCGTAGCCCATTGACTGCCGGTATGGCAGCACGTCCGATCAGTCAAGCGCGGAACCCTGTTGACCTACGGCTACGTTCACGGAGCTCGGAGATCGAGAAGGATCTGCGTCAGTGATCTTGGTGATCCTGTGATCTGGCGATGCTACATCTGGTCGATCGTGTCTACAGCGCCGGTGGTGCTGTCTTCGCTACTTCTCGGCAACAGGATGGCCTGACACGGCTACAACCACTGACTCACTGACTGTCAAACAACACTGCACAGGTAAAGGTTGGACATAAAAGAAATACAGGTCTTCCAGCTTTTTGCTAGATCAGTCGAAGTCAGCATGCGTATCATGTTTATGTTTATGTTTGTGTTTCCAGTATGATAGCTACTTACTCCCGGCCTGCCATTGCTTCCACGATCTGCTGGAAACAAGCAGTTTTTTTTACAAAAATTAATAATGCGCTATCTTCTTCATAGTCATACTGACATGACAGGCTGTACTGAACAGGTATAGGCAGCATACAGCCATACTGTCAACAGCACACCAGTGTCAGTGACTGACTGAGTCTGTGCATCGCACCCAAACAGACTGGGAGATCAAAAAAGATACAGTCTACAGACTAGATCCTACCAAACCTGTACTGATCTGGCCTGGATGTACTGACCGTGTGTGTGTGTGTGTGTGTGTGTGTGTGTGTGTGTGTGTGTGTGTGTGTGTGTGTGTGTGTGTGTGTGTGTGTGTGTGTGTATTCGTGTGTGTGTGTGTGTGTGTGTGTGTGTGTGTGTGCGTGTGTGTGTGTGCGCGCGTGTGTGTGTGTGTGTGTGTGTGTGTACGTGTGTGTGTGTGTGTGTGTGTGTGTGTGTGTGTGTGTGTGTGTGTGTGTGTGTGGTGTATGTGTCCATGTACGTGCGTCTGTGGCCATGTGTGTTTCTGTGTGGGTGGGTGGGTGGGTGCCCGTGTGTGTGTGTGTGTGGGGGGGGGGGGGGGGGGTGTCACAGCCAGTCATGCTAAAAGGACAGATACAGACATATGGCAGGTGACTGTCCAGTTTCCGGAGTGTGGATGGGATCTCAGACAGAACCTGTGGTGGTGGTGGCGGTGGTGGTTGCAAGATGTGGCAGTGGTCACTGCTCGCCAGATGTGCGCTGCAGTTGGGCTAGCAGCCGCAAATGCACAGCACGCACAGGACATAGCACAGTGCATACTACAACATCTGTGTTATGGTTCGGCAGTCTAGTAGCCGTTGAAGTTCAACACGTGCACGCCACCATCACTCGTGCATCAGTAGCTGTAGTCTCACAAGGATTCGATGATAAAAAGCAGACCGGGATTCCCAGAATTCCACAACAAACGGTGATCAAAATGAAATATGAGAACTGCTGATACGCTGCATTCAAGTTGTGCTTTCAAGCCTTTCATACCTTCACCAACAGCTATGGTCGGCTGATGAAGACAGGCTGATAGCTGCATTGTCCCAGTGAGTGCTGGAAAAAAATGGATAACTGACGCACCTTGGGTCAGTTGTTGCAGTCAAACTGTACTGGCACGCTTTATCAATTGCAGTGTTCTGGAGATACTTCATCACGCCATCACATCCCTGTCCAGCTACATGCACTAGCACTAGCAGATACCTTCACCCCACAATACAGACATACGATAGTCCTTAGCGGCCGCCGGGTTAACTATGAATAACCGATATGTTTTATTGTCATCACTTTGAGAGTCACTATTGAAAATAGACGGTCTCAGGCGATGAGCTACTCAAGTACTCAGTGTGATTCAGTCTATGACTGTGTTTCGGGTCATGTTTCGCATCCGTTCCTACTAATACCTGGGCAAGAATCAATGGTTGTTTGGCGAAGCCCGTGTGTAAACCACTGTTGGTCAGACTCGGGTGCAATGGCGTTGTTAGATATTGCATGCGTCTTCACTCTGTACATTGACAGCTGCATGCATTTAGAGTATTTGATGCTGCTGTGTGTTACCTTCGGACAGCACCACGATCTTTTTACATGTACGTTCTATGTCGACCCGATCCCATCTCATTCTTTGTCTAGTTCTATACTTACTGCCATGATTTGTCCTGTTTGTGGTTATACAGTCTTCTTCTTCTCCAGTCGCATTGCTTGCGTTTGCAGGAGACTTCTACGGTGTGTGTGTCTCTATTCGTCTCCACGATGTACGTGATAATTCCTTTCTCTTTCCATGTCCATATATTTATCCTGGCCACCAGCATTTTCTGCATCGCGTACGGCTGGTGGACATATCTACCCCAGTCGTCGTGGTGTAGTTGCGCCCTCTTCTTACTTTACTTTGAGGACAGTCGCAAGATACTCTGATTTAATATCACCGTATTATCTCTAATATAAGCACAGTCTCCAATAATAGCACGTCTCCAATAATAGAACACCTTGGGGCGGCATTCAAAAAATAAAATGCTTAGTCTCCATTATAAGCACACTGTGTAAATTCATTATCTGTACCGGCAAAAAACCCTGAAATGTGCGTGACTGACATGAATTTGGCCATGGCAAAATGCCTCTGAAATGAGGTTGAAATAATAATGGAACAGTCTCCAATAAAGGAGCGTCTCCATTAATAGCACCGTGCACGAAGCGGAGGTACATTGAAAAAATAAAGGACCGTGCTTATATTAGAGATAATACGGTATGAAGAGAACAGTCACAATTTGAGTGCAAAGAATCCCAGTGCCGGTTTACATGGTTTATGATGAGCTCACTGAAGAGCCAAAACGTCATCTGTGTTGGAAGGGTAGAACGAGAGTACTAGTACTATTAAAATTTTCTAAAAGGCGTGGACGGGGGGGGGGGGGGTCGACCCTAGATCCCAACTCGCGCGGACATTATTATTGTACTGTTGTTATTACTGAACTACTGTACTTTGAGAATGGTGCATTGAGTGATTTCTGTCAGCTGTCAGGAATTACTTCACTCGTTCATGCATGGATATGAGCAAGAGTACATGTCATACTGCTTATGGACTCTTGATATGAGTCCTAGGAAATTCAGTCATGTGACAGACTCGTCCACACTTGTCTTGTGTGATGTATCTATGCAGATGCATTGAAAGCAGGGAGTAGTTCAATGCCTATTGTACTACTGCATTGTACTATTATACTACTCTCTGGTGCAAACCAGTACTCCCAGCAGGTTTGCACCAGGGAGTTGTACAATAAAATAATATAAATACATGACATTGATGGACATCCAGGATGTGTGTGTGTGTCACCAAGGACAGGTAATGGCCAGTTGACCAACACTGGCAACAGACTGGTCACATGATGAGTAGTGCATGATTGCATGGCCGCTAAACCATGTGTCCACATGCATGACATGTGTAAAAAGACATGATAAGATACTGTAACCGTATTGCTGTATAGTTTAATACGTGTGGTCAGAGTTGCACTACATGTACAATGTAGCAAGCAGTGCAGACTACTGAGCCAGCTTGCCACACCGGAGGTCTTCGATTCTTGGCACGGCAGTGAATGCCTGCCCGGCCCTACAATATCAGTGTCAGTGATGGTATAGATGTACATGTACACCATAAACATACATAGTAACATAGTGTGTGCTAGATCAGGAAACCCTGTCTTGAACGGGGACACATTGAAAAATGTAAGAGATAGGGAGCGTTCCTGCTTGTGAGCTTGCCCCACCATATATAAGCGATGAGTGGAGCGGCAGCTACAGGACAGCATGAGAAGAAGGCAACGCCTAGGAAAGAATACACTGCTCACGGCAAGTTAAACAGAATATGCAAAAAGCAAGGGCACTTGCTGGCAATAGCAACATCTTACAAGTGCAGTGTGTGCACTGCATTGAATGTGAACAAGCGCAAGTGGTGATCAAGTTTAGGCCAAACACAAGACAGACTAGCAGATAGGATAGCCACAGCGTTGCACCAGTTTTACAACCAATAACACAGCCTACTCCGGTTACTAGAACACAACACACTCTAACATCCATACATATACGGACAGATCATGAGAATGGCTCTGCGACAACAACAGCGCTGGGTGGAATCGCGGATTAAATGACTACTACATAGGCGGTAGCCTAATATAAGAAAGAGGGGCAAACTAACAATAATAATAGTAATAATAAAAACAGCAACTGGAGCGCATGGACAAAATACGACAATCAAGTAAGATGAATTTTATAGGACCTGAATTGAAATGATGTTTACTAGTGTATGTGCAGCCTGAACAGGCCAAGACTAGACTATGCATACAAAAAAAACAACCATCACCGAGCTGACAGCATGCCTTGTTATGTAGTTATGAGCGAAAAGGATAATGCTAACAAGGCAAACACACTGCACACACAGGCTCATGGCAATACGCTTTTTAGCAAGCACACGATGCAACCAACGGACGACTCTAAAAGAAGTAGAAAAAAATAAATAGTGAGCTACCACAGCAACGAAAACCTACCAGGTCTCAGACTCAAACATCACTTTCACAGTACCGTCCCTCAGTACGGACTTTGCTAGATGCAGCTGAAGACGTGCTCAAAGCCAATTTGGCACGCTCGGCAACTTGGCGGAACTCTTCTGAGTCCTGGTCGTTGGCAGCCACAATAGATGCTCGTATTCGCCGGTGTTTGTCAGTGTCGCCAGGGCGCCTGGCTGGGGCACGCGATGATGCAGAGCGCTGTGGTGCACGGCCTTTGCGCAGTATCATACTTTTCTGCCGGGTCTGTCGCTCCGACTGCGTAGTTGACTTGCCACCACGAGGTGAACCATCAGGGAGTGGCGCAATGAGAATGGCGTCAATGAACTTGGCTTTCTTGAGGTGCCCAACCACATAGTAGTGCAGGCGCCCGTAGATTGGAATGCCGTCCATCTCCACGATACGAGCGCCTTGGCGAATACCAGCTGCGTATGCCACGCCGTTCACATCCACCTGTCCAACAATGCCACCACGGTGGATCATGAAACCTAGGTGGCCACCAGGACTCCTTTCCAGATGCACTTTTGCTGACTCGCAGCCATTCGGGGCAACTGCGGCTAGGCGCTGGTGAATCTCAGACATACACTCCTCACCTTGCTCGTCAACATTGCAGAGGTTGAGTACAAGGTACGCTCCCTGTCCATAGTAGATACGGATGTGCAACTGCTGTACTGACCAGCCAATGACCAAGTCTGTGGGAATGCACAGGCGCACAGTCTGCAACTCCTCGTCCACCAGGCACAAGTACTTGAGAGAGACGCACAGCAGACACTCAACATAGTCCAGCTCCTCACCTACACCCCAGTCCACCACTTGAACGGACCACATCAGGGCACCTGGCAAGTCAGTCAAGTCCGATGAGGAAATCATAGTTGGTTGGGACCCGGATGTGGATGACTTGTCTGGCCTCTTGCGCATCCTGGCTAGCTTGCCATACAGGCCACCACTATCTCCCGTGTCCACAGTTTGTGGCGTGACGTAGTTTTCCGCCAGATCATTCAAGTACTCAAAGCGAGTGCGCTGCGACATGTTTAGGAACTTGGTACAGTCATGCGCTGCTAGCTCCGAGTTGATCAGCTTTGTGAGCAAGAACTCCCTGAAGTCTGCTCCGTGGTCAAATATACCATTCTCGGGCAAGGCAGGACCATACACAGGAATATCTTGTGCCTGCGAAATCGCAACTTGATAGCGAGGCTTGCCACTCACTGAGCATGGGTCCAGGCAGCGCACCACGGCGAAGATATGCTGGAAGTGGGAGCGTATTGTGGCCGGTGTGAATGGCAGAGCACCCTTCTCTTGGAAAATGATTGTTACTATGTCATTTCCAATGTGCCGTTTGCGCAGCAGCTGCTGGCGATTGCTGGGTGTAGACGGTAGTAGAGGTGACACGTGGAACATGATCTCGTTACCTTCAAAGTAGGTATAGTAGGAATGGCTACCAGTTGAATCTGTACGGTTGTCTAGCTGTGCACGGTACTTCAAGAATCCCTTTAACTCCACTTTATCCGAGATACAGGACATGAATTCATCGAAAGCTGGCGAAGCTTCATCATTGTTATACATCTCCTCTTCCGAGCTCTGATCTGCCTTACAGTACATGACGCCAAACTTGAACTGCTGGCTAAGGCTAGACTCATCCAACTTCATCAGTTGCTCATTGACTTTGCCGTAAGATTGGCCAAGTCGCAAGCAGCCTAGCTGTACTTCAGGGGCTACAAAAGAGATGATGTCCTTGGCCGGTATGGGCTGAGAGGATTTGGGTTTACCGTACGATGCTAGGATGCTGTCCTCAGACACTGATCCCCTCAGTACATTAGGATGTGATGTTCGGACAATGACGCGGTAGAGAATTCGCTGAGTGCTTCCGCTTCCTGTACTCACAGCAACGTTGGGCGGTACGCTCAGTGACACCACTGAGGCAATGTCTTCTTGACTCCTTGTCCGTTGGATAATCTCCCTCCGTATAGACACAGCCACGGGTCCAAGTCCTTCATCAATGCCAAAATAGTTCTGGTGCGTATGCTCGGCAAAGAAACGGCGAAAATACAGAACTCCCAGGTCCACATGATTGAATCGCTTGAAATGTCTGTCTTTGTTCTGGTGGCCGCCCTGCGGTCTCCACATGCCTAATTGGCAGTAACGATAGCGCCTGCGCTCGTCGTCATCCATTTTCGACGTATCATAGTCCTCCATCAGCACACCTACACAGGAAGCAGGTGAGAAGACCAAGCGACCACCTGAACCTGCAGCTTCCAGCTCACCTATCCCAATTCTTCGTAGCTCGTCTCCCACCTCATTTCGGAATTGCGGCGTGGACAATACCAGTGAGTTACTCTTCCCATCTCCTTGGTCGTCAGCAGTGTCAGAGATGGCGGAAGCTCCTGACTTCACATTTACTGAGAAACTCTTTTTCGACACTCCCGTAGAATCGGCCAGATTACTCAGCACCGAGACGCAGTCATGATGGGCGAAGCTTTTCCGCCTCAGCCTAGCTGCGATTTTCACCTCCAGTACAGCAAGACGTTTGACCTGCACAGCCAGGGAAGGGATTGACGGTGGCGGTGCATCTTTCTCGAGGGATGTTACAATAGTCTTCTTGTCACGTAAAAATTTCCAGCCACCTTTGTCTCCGGCACTCTCGGATAGATGGTCAGCCACAGGGTAATCGCCTCTCTTGTCATTACTATCCTCTATACTTTGCGGCCCACTGGACGATCCAGAACTCTGCACAACTGACGACATGTCGCATGGCTGAAAAAAAAGGAGGAAGTCACTCCACCCGCAATGTTCAAGCTGACAGTGACAAGGAAGAACGTAACTCGTTTTGGAGCTTGAAGCTGCAACAAGCCAAGAGACTACAGACTTGACTGCAAACGAGGCGGCCGACACGCACGGGAGTTCAGTTCATGTGCATGCATGATCGCATGTACTCTGTAGACATGGCCTATGGACCTTTGCCTTTGGCAGACTGTGGTTATCATGGTTATGCGCCATGCATGGCTTTGCATGATCGTTTCGGAAGTTCTCAGTACTGTAGATCTATAATATTGTACGACTGTAATACTTTTGTACAATACATGTAGTTGTACTCTACACACTGACTGTTCTGTGCACAGCTACATAATAGACCGATCCCCTTATTATACTGGGTTCGAGCACGGGGGCAACCTCACTCGCGATCGAGCTAGTTTTTGAACGTGACAGCATCTTTGACAGTGTGTTTCAGGTTTGTTTTGGAATGTCTTCTGCTTAGTTCAAGTGGTTTGCGATGGCTTCGAGCGGTGCTGAACCTCCTGCTGGTAGGAGCAGAGTCTTCGAGAGAGACATGGACTGTGATGCAGCTGCAGGATTTTTTCAAGGCGCGGGAGAGAACGATCTCGGGCCACAAACAGGAGTTACTCCAGAGGTGAGTTTTTTTGTTGTTGGTATTATTCGAATCGCGAATCGTGTTGTGAGATTTATTTTGTGCCTAGGCTACAGCAGACCGTATTTCTTTCTCCTTGAGATCGGTGCTGAAGATAATAGTAACCTTTTTCTGGTCTGCCTTTTCCTCTCCAGAGCCATCTTCTATGAAGGTAACCGTGGTGCTGCGAAGTCACCAAGTCGCGATCGCGATCAGCAGCCCTGAAGTGGAAAAATCGATTTTCCAACGATCTGGTTGGACATCAGCCACTAAAGTACTTCTGATTTGCCTGTAGTGACAACAGCAGCCATCCTTGGACACCTTGCAAAGACAGGAAAAGCCACTGGTGGAAGCGACTGCTATGAGGTGATGATAGCATGTGGTGATCGCTGTTTTGTCAAGTCGAAGGGCTAGCCAACCCAGAGGAAGCATAAAAAAAAACGATGAGCAGTGCGTGGTATTTGTTGAGCGTGAAGAGCTAGAGGAGGACAGTGCAAACACATGGAAGGAGTGGATGGTGTTTGAAGTGCTGTGTGCCGGCTGGTGGTGATGGTGGTCTTTGTAAGCATGTATTCGTGCTGCTTCTTGTGCTGGAACACTTCTCGCCCAGGAAGGGAGATTGCGTGCTCCCTGGCCCGCAGTCGGCAATGGGGCATTTGTTCCAGGAACATTACCCCAGAGCCAGTGATGAGTCGTACCTTTGAAAGATCGAAGCTTGCTGTTAATCGCGAGCGTAGCGCAGTGGATTGCTCCCTCTTCGAAGTACGATGGCCAAAGCTTGCCGCTGTCTGCAACAAAGTGTGTGTGCGGTTCTTTCGAACCTATGAGTATGAATATACCCCCCCCCCCCCCTCTCTCTCTCTCTCTTAGGAAGACTGCATGTTCAGAGTGAACTATTTTCTAGTATATTTAATGTGAGACGGGCTGTTTACGCCCAAGATCAAGATACAGTTTTTTTCTGTTTCTATACCTTCCTAATAAAATACATTTTGACAGAGCTTTCGGTCATACTCCGCTGTACTACATCCTCAACCCGCCACCACCATGCGCTCTTGGCCGAACTAATGCACGAAGCATAAACACACCAGCACAGCAAGGACACTTCCGTTGACAGATATTGTTTACGCCTCAAGACAGCTGTTTCGTTTCTTCGAGCTCATCGTTAGAGGCGGATAGTAGCAGGATATTAATGATGATATAATATAAGATGATAGACGGTTTATGGTCCGATATTGATGATTGGAGATCTAAGAAAGCAATGACAGTGATTGCGAAATGGATAATATTATCATGATTATATGCCAGTCTGGTAATGCGTTGTACTGGTGGACAGTATTGAAATCATCACTGCATTCGATGCAAATATTGGTATACCTTGGTTTCAGTATTGGAAAAAAAAGAGTAAGAGAACCTGGTTGATTTGGTTGCATCTGCGACTGGCTACTGGGTGTTGTGATCAGCAATGTTACCATGGGAGAAAATACGAGCGCAAGGATCTGTTGGGTCTTGTTGTGCCGTGCCGGTGCGAGAACCCTAAGTGCATGGCAAAATAGAACTGTTTCATCCACACTGCAGAATGTCTTGCGGTGCATGGCATCGATGACTGAACATCTCGCCAGCTCGCCCAAATGGGGATCATGCCCAAACGGAGGAACAAGACATCTTTCCAGCTCAGCTAGCTATATACCGTGAAACGGATGATGAACTTGTGCCACGCATGCCAGCTTCTGTTCCATTCGGCCCAGGCTTAGACACATCAATGCCAATAGCAGCTGATCCTCCATTACATGCTCATTGGCGATTTACGGCCACCTCCAACTGTATCCGCCGTCCCTCAGTTTCCGTCTTCGCAGATCTGGCGCGGCGCAGTACATTTTCTCGGCTAGGCTCAAAGAAGTCCCACAGAGCAGTCCAAACACCTGAAGGCAAACCAGTCAGAAACTGGAGCGGCTCAGAGTCTTTCTTTATGTTACTGTACGTAAGCTGTTTTTCGGCTTTCTTCACCCCAGTCCTCACATCGTCCAACTGCTCCACGAGACTCTGTACACGAGCTCTACTTGCTGCCAGCTCCTGATGCAGATGCTGCACTTCCATTACAGGACCAAAGTTTGGCAAACTGCACTAAGCCAGCTTCCTTTCCAACTCAAAGTACCGTTGCCTCTCAGCAAAATACTGGTTTGGGAGCATGGGGAGCTCGTGATGCAGACGCTGCACTTCCATGACCGAACTGCACTAGGCTCAGCAAATACTGTTTTGCGAGCATGGGGAGCAGGGCGTCCAGACTCCACTCTCTTGCGAAAAGCAAACCTGGTACCGTAGGACAGCTGTTCGGGTTCCTGGACTCATCCTGCCCTTGTAGAGCTGGGCAAAACGATTTCGATTTCGGGATCGAAATGATCGCTGCAACTATTCAGAGTGACCCTAAAACTACGCCCTTCCTCACGGGGCATAGCCTGGATCCGCTGCTCCAGGCCGCTGTGGCTCCACACGAGGAAAGGAGTGAAATGACTTGTTTGCATCGTCCTCCTGTTCTGACAGTGAGGAACGCAGCAATGATCCTGAGAAGGCATCCTGAAGTCGTAAAAAGGAAGACGTCTGAACAAAAACAAAACAGCTCAAATCAAAAGTCCTTGTGACATTTTTTGTAGACAGGCTTGCACTGCATGTAGATTTCGCGTGCTCTGCACTTCGCATGCGAGAAGTCGCGCACGGCCGAGGTGAGGTTGGTCGCGTGTGTGCAGCAGGATCCCACGCGACTGCGGAGTTGCCCCCTTGCTCGAACCCAGACAATAATAAGGGGATCGGTCTATTGTATACAGCTAGCTACTCGAGTCGATCTAGCTACATCAGTAGAAGTTTTTTTTAAAAATAATTAAGGGGTCGTCCACAATTATCGAACTTTTTTCACGAAACGAAATAATTTCGTTATGGGGTGGGAGGGGCCGTGGTGGTGTGGACTGTGGTGTTTTCAACTTCATTCTCGTAAAAGAGGCTTTTAGGGGCCGTCCGGGGTTACCAATAGTTTTTGCAAAACGAAACGTTTTAGTATTTTTCAGCACCCACCCACCCACCTACCTTTTCTGCAGGTAAAACGAATTCCAATAAAATATTGATGTCAATTTTCGAAATCCAGAAGTAACTGGGCATTCTCCATCTGCATTCAATAATTATTTTCAAAACGAAATTCCTTCAAACCCACCCACCCCCAAACGAAAACTTTTCGTTTTGAAAATACTATTGGTAACCTTGGACGGCCCCTTAGGGGCCGTCCGCAAATATCGAACTTTTTTCACCAAACGAATTATTTTAGTTTAGACCCAACCCCTCGATCCCTCCCTCCCCCTCAGAACGTAAAAATTGTTGACATATTATTATTATTATTATTATTAAATACATGCATATACAACAAAACCCGCAAGTGTGTAACTGATCCTATGGCCATGTACATGTACATGTATCTAGTAAAATAAAAGTTAATAATAATAATAATAATAATATTGACTGGTTTGAGGGAAAGAGACAAACGGGAAAAGTCTGAAGAACAAATTGACTGTCAGTGTCACCACCAGGACTCGAACCAGGGACCCTCGCTTGTAGCCAGCGATGCTCTAACCACTGAGCTATGGTGTAGCCGTCATCCCAGCAGAGGCCGTTAAACATTTTCTTCAGACTTCGTAATAATAATAATATCGAACTTTTCTGAAACGAAATAATTGGTCAACCCCCGCCGCGCCAGGACACTGTGGCCAGGATCAGGTCTATGATAACCATGATAACAGCAGTGATCTTTTAACGGGCGAACAAAACACATGGCGAATCGGAGGATTGAAAACAAATCACTAAAATAATGATGACGTCACATGTGATCAGAGAGCAAGAGAAGCATAGCATAGTCCACACAATCACGGGCCAAGGCTCAACGGGACACCCTAGCCTCCACGACAGCCAGGGAGGCACAGCCATCCATTGGAGGCTGCCAAACCCGGCGAGCCCCACGCAGACACATGACACTCGAACGCAGCAGGGCGAAAGACAGCCTGCAGCGGAGGTGGGCAATTAGCACAGAATACGCCTCCCTCCCACGTAGCGACTGGAGATGTGCAATCCGGCTTCAGTACAAGTCATGTACGTCTGATGATGATGATTGTTTTCACCAGTACGAGCGTAGTGAGTCGTAGACATACGACTCCCTGGTTTTCACCGTGAAAACATGTTACAGTGGTCCCTCTATAATCCGGCACCATTTGTGCCACGAAAATCTGCTGGATTAGGGAGGGTGCTGGATTAACAAATCTGATTTACTGCTGCAATGTGCATGAAGAGGACATTTTGGCTACTGAAAATTGTGCTGGTTTATCGAGGGTGCTGGATTATAAAGTGCCGGATTAGAGAGGGACGACTGTACATGTACCAACAAGAGTCCATAACAATTTTATGGATCATAATCCATAGCCTGATGGACTCTTGTCTGTCTTGGTGTTATACCAAGAGTCCATAAATCACAATCCATAGAATATAATGATAGAGGCATAATCCATGTTTATGGTCCCAATATGGACTCTTGAAGTAGTTACCAAGAGTAGATAAACTGTTTATCTACCGTCTTGAAGCTATCAGGCAAGGCTTTTATGTGAAACATCAACGTTAACCGTTAACGTTTTTTATAGCGCACAAGCGCTGCTATTGATTACTATGGTAACTGGTATGTGTTTCGTCAACTAACGTTATAACGTTACTTTCGTGTGTCGTTTTGGCCAGGGAGTCGTAAAATACCGGTATTTTACGACTCCCAGGTTTTGGCTCTTGTACGTAAAAAAAACAACTTACTTTGGTCTTTACAAATGTACCCAATTTTTAGTTGTGCTTTTGGTAGTCGAAATCTCAAATAATTGCTCTCCTTTCTAGCTTGTGGTATTCTTAGTTACCTCTGTTGTTCACTGTGAAAACCCAATTGCTGACTTTCAATACGAAGGGTAAAGTACTTACGTCAGCGTCCACTTTGGTGGTAAGTCATGCACACCTAAGGTCCATTAGTCACGTCGTTTGACTATTATTTTAGTATGATCTTATCTCTGTCTTTTAGCATTTGGAACTGTGCACATTTGGACAGTGAACATTCTGTAATGTTGCCTTTTTCTTGCTCATTCATTGCATGTGAAGCTAGAAAATCGGCACCTGTGAACTTGACACCTCCCTCAAACGAAAGAAACGATCATTTCATTTGCGATGATTCTGCAACGATTTGAATATCGGTGTTGAATGCAGCAGGTATCGGAATGTCCAAAGATGTAGTATTGGTGACTTGCGCACCATCTGGCAACGTTTCTGTTTTGTCTTTTATGAAGGCATAGCACAGCACAGAGAAATGAAGCCTAACTTGGTAGCAATAAAAATTAACGAATAATCAGTCGTTTCGGGGACAAACGTTTCAGTATAGCAACAAGTCCTACTCCCATTCCTCTAATTGATACAATCATGTATGTCGACAAATAAACAATAAACAGTGCTTACGGCACAATCCGTCCTTCGTGTTGCTGTAATGAAGGATCAGATCCCGCGTTTAAACCACTCCTGAAAACTGGCGAGGCAGTGAAATAGGCACGGCGCTAACAGCACAACAGCAAAGAAACACTATTATTATAGGTATACAGTACTATACACATCAAATATTCTCTCACTAATTGGACCACTTGAGGCCTGGCTCACATTCGGCGTAACGTCAATGGTACGGGACGTAAGAGCCTGCCGGGAAGGCCGAGGCGAGCTGTAGAATACTGTGCGATTTGTACCGCACATGTCGCAGCATTTCCTGCGATATTCAATGTTGATCGCCGCTAGGAATGAACCGCGGTCTATCACAGGTCGAATCTGGACAGTAATGCCTTGCTTTTTGATGCTTCTATTAGGCCATCATTTTTTATAGCTATGTTTCGCGTCGTCCGCACGCATACGTTTTGACTTTTTTTCGGAAAAAAATAAAAAATTCGAACATGCACAGTGAGTGTACGATCGTGCGAGTAATCAGTGTGGACTGGTTGCGATACGGCGAAGCTTGGATTCAGAAATGGCCTCTAGGGCAGCGTTGGTAAATCGTTTGTTCGGCATCTGGGACCAATATTCTATGAGCTTACACCAGACCGCATTGATCACCTCAAGCTGAGAGGATGCGTCGTTCCGGAGCTCTTTGCACCGCTGCTGAAGTCTCACTACAATAATCCAGCGAAGCATGGGCACCAACGGTTGCCTCCTCTGTCCAAAGTGAATATTTACTCATGCTGGTAACCCAGATGTTGTGCTTCGATGTACGATTTTTCTCTCGAATGTACACCATGCACGAACTATTGTGCTATGTACAGTGCATACACCTCTGATGAGCCTTTTTTATTATTTTGCAACTTTTTATTTTTTCCACCTCTCGCATATGATTCTGGAAGTTGAACTGACGCGAAACATAGATATAAAAAATGATGGCCTTACATGACATTGTATTTCTCCTCACAGGAGTTGGAGTCATAAGTACACTGCCAGTTTGTCATGAGGACTAAAAAGTAGCTCTGTATTTGCCGGAGTATAATGCGCATACTGCACACATATTAATCCGAAAGCGATACGCGTGCAACTTGACAAGTATGGACTGGACTCACGTAGCCAGAAAATGGTGTAGGGTGTGTGCATATGGATTATGTTGGGTCAGGGGTGGCGAATCTTGCACCGGTTGGATTCATTTCATTGCTTGCTAGCTGCGGACATCTAAAAGTGGTACGCGTGCAACAACTTCAGATTCGACTCGCATCTCCCATCGAAGATCGCCTGAAAAAATTCAGAGTGGGAAATGTGGGCTAAGTGTAGTACCGTAAAGTACCATTAGTCCCCCCTCTAATCTCTACCTGTGAAGCGACTTTAGCTGCCGTCACTGCATGCTATTTCTCAGCTACTGGTATGATAATTTCTACTTGTTGCTGTGTGCGTGCGTGTGTGCGTGCATGCGTATTCATTCTTATGTGCGCACGTTGCAGTTTTGATGAGGCGTGTTACTTCGATGTGGATTGTCCAACACTTCTCGTCGAACTGACAGGTTCATGTATAGGTCACTTCACAGGTAAGTGTGGAGCTATAGGCAACTGCGGCTGCTGCTACAATGCAATGCAATGCAAACAAAAGAACCCTGGATGGCTGTGTGTGTGTGTGTGTGTGTGTGTGTGTGTGTGCGTGCGTGCATGCGTGTGTGTGTATGTGTACGTGCATGCGTGTGCGTGCATGCGTGTGTGCGTGTGCGTGTGTGTGTGTGTGTGTGTGTTAAAAAAGGTTTTATGGCTGTGTGTTGCTGTGTTCCTATTATCGGTACTGTGCATTCTATGTTTTAAAGTCCTGGAATATTTACTTTGGCCAAGAGTACAAGTGTGCAACTGGTGATGCCTACGGGCCACAGCTTGAATTATGACTTCTTTTTTTATGGTGTGATCTGCTCTGTGCGGGCATAGGAGAGGTCAACCAAGTGTAATGCAGTTGTGTGTGCAGCCAAGTGTATTACATTGCGGACGTGGCATAGTTCTGAAAATGAGTCGTGCCGAAGGTGTATGTGGACACACACCTTGTCTTACCCCCCGCTTACCCACGCACCCTGCAGGAGACACACTTAGTCACTAAGACGCAAGCACGCCTGCATCTCTGCATGGGGAGGGAGCTACACCCAAGACACACACGCACATGTAGCTATTCGATCAGTCTGCCACAACAGAACTATGTTGTATGCAATTGAAACATGTTTGAATGGCTAATATGACCCATTATCACCTTGGTAGCCTGAGTGGCAGGTAGCAGGTGTACGATAGACCAAGACCATGGCTGGAGAGCAGATGTGTTACTAGGTTCTAATCCTGCTTGAGAGCAGAAAAACATGGATGCAGTGAATTTCTTTCACCACTTTCTGGTTGGTCTGATCCCCAATCACTTATGTAGCTGCATGTCATGCTGTATCTTGATCTCATTAGCTAGCCCTTCATGGTCTCAAGAGCCAGTCGAAATGAGCCAGTTAATTAGTTGAATTTAGAAAAATTTCATACCTTGCTTGATCCATAACTTCACAACACCTCGCCCGATTTTCGTGATCTTGGACCTTCTGGAAGACTCTGGGCACGAGCGACTCGCCCAGCTACAATTCAACACCGAGCCTGTCCCCTTGGAAAAACGCGATTCCGCGGCCGCGGCAAATTTCGCAGAAGTTGCCATCATCCGTGGAAATCACGGAATCCACACTTTTGCCCGCGGAATCTGAATTTTCTAGGGTAAATAACTAAAATTACTACTCAGAAAGCAGCAGAAAAACTACTTTGCGATCTGTTCGAGCACATTTCTCTTGCCAGTGCAGGTCTCTCCAAGATTCTTCATTCTTATTCAGTTTGTGACTGCAAAGGATAGTATGAAAAGTGCTCCTTTATGCGACTAGTTGTCATATCCTCTACGAGGAGGGTGAAAAACTTGCAGAAAGTGCCGTAGATTTTTGATTTTACTGCAGACAATGCCGCAGAAAACCCCCCTTTTCCCCACGGAATTTGCCGCGGAATTTTGAATTCTTGGCCGCGTTTTTCCAAAGGAACAGCCGAGCATGCCATTGATCAAGCGCTGTAGGCCAGCAAAATGGCCCCAGTGCTTGATTCACAATGAGAAACACGTTCCAACAGCCGTATCGCTCGCCTCAAGACCAACTCGCCCATTCAAATCGCAGCAGAATGTTAATATCAAACTCCAGTACATGCACCTAGTACCTGAACATAGTGTTATATTATGATAGTGGTGAAGACACACATCACAAAATGGAGGTGAAGACACACGTCACGAAATGGAGGTGAATACACGCCTATCGAAATAGTAAAGAAAAGTAATTAAAACATGCACATCCACACACACACACTCTGTAAGCTGCAAAGTTGCGAGTTGGCACAGAGCTCTCCTCTCACCACTACCATCAGGTTACCCCTGGCGTGTGGTCGATGCATGACTGGTGACTTAGCAGACATGCACACTAGATAGCGCTTGGTGCATTAAAGATGGCGCGTTTTGCGGCGTTTACGACTTGGCTCAGCGTTAGAGCTCTTAGCCACAATGTAACTGTGCTGGTTAGAGAGCATGTGTGGCCAGGCCTGTAGTTACTAGCTAGCAGCATTTCACCCGGCGTGCAGTTACTACACTATCACTACGTGTGTATTTCTATTTACCATCATTTCATCAGGTGTCTCTTTACCACCATTATTCTACTAGAAACACGACTGCAGTAGAGTCTTCGAATTCATTGTTTGTACATGTATACCGGCATGACGTATCTAACACTACCGATTTTCAATGGTTTTGTCTGGTGGTGCTCTCTTGCCAGGTTTACTCCTCTGGTGAACAGTGCTAATGGCCGTCCAGTCACTGGTGCCGCCGCCGCCGCCGCCGCCACCACCACCACCGCTGGCGGATCAGTGGCTGGTGTGCCGTTGCCAGCAGCCACTACATTGCTATCAGGCACATCAACACCATGGACACGCACAGCACAACAGCAGCAGCAGCAATACCGCCATCTACATGCTACCGCACACACCTGCATCCGTCGGAAGGTTGACCTCGGACCCGGCCAGCCCAAGAATGCCAAGGTCAACGAGGAGGCGCTGTTCCGCCACGTCCGTCCACCCATGGACAATTCCTATGGTAGCAATGAGTTAAAGAGTGCCAAGAGGCTTGTTAATGAGCTCATTGGTAATCAACGCTCCCAGAAGAGTGTTAGCAAGATGATGCAGGCACAGAGCCGCAAGTATAAGCGAGATGCAGAGCTGAGGAAGTTAACTGGAAACAAACCGGAACATTCAGCGCACGGTATGAATTTTGAAGTTGATTTGCCAAGTCGAATGGTTACAGTTGATCATGAATGCAAGCAGGCACACATATTCATTACACTCTTGACTCGCTTGTATCCCCATCTTCCAGATAACTTTCTGCTTGTACTTCCTCCGCGTCATTAAAATTGTCGCTTCCCAGAGCAATTTTTCGAAATTATTTTGTCCAGTCGAAGGGCAAAGAAATCAGCTAGAAATTGAGGCAGAGCATCGTCGACGGACCAAGCTTTAGTTTGTGGCCCCCCGCTTCGCTGCACTTGCAGCTAAGGTCGACGTCTTCATCAGAGTTTGAGGCAGACCCTTCAGCACTCAACAATACGCTGAACAAGACCCGCGTCAACTTCAGGTCAAGAAACTTCGTTTTCAAGCGATCCATGCCTCCAGGTGGCAGGCGATGAAGGCAAGCTAGCATTTTTCAAGTACACTGTAACGACCTTCCAGTGGGATAGGGTAAGCAGTTCCGCACCTTCTTTCCTTGGAAAGCGCTTCGCTGAATTTGTTGGTGTTTTCAGACCTGGTACCTTCGCAGCAACATGCGCTACAAGTAGCGCATTTTAGGAATTTGAGACCACTTTGTTCTTGCCATCGTCATCTTCAGCAGTTCGTATTCAGGAGAGATACCAGGATTCTTATACCCGAGCTTGCAGTCTTGACAAATGCCCACGCGGACGATGTGGGACGGCATGAACTCCAGAAAACGAAATGCGCTCTGGGGCGGAATACGAATAGTGCGGAGCGCGATGAATTTGCTTGGTGCGGAAGAGAGCTCAGACAAAGTCCGAGACCACCACGGCTTCAGTGACAAGTAGACATTGCGCAGGAAGGGTCACACCAGTGTTCAAACACAGAAAACAGTGATTCCGACAGTCCGAATAAGACGAGCCAAGTCACAAATATTGCGATGTGCGAAGCGACAATTTTAATGACGCGGAGGAAGTACTTTCTTAAGAAGAGGTTGGTGCGGCTTCGGCGGCACTTGGGGAATTGTGTGTTGCTCCCTACGTGGGAGCTCGCGCTTTTTCTGCCGACTTAATTCTCACTTGACTGACTTACGACTGCCATCCAGAGCACACGAGAAGTCCATCGAACCTTCCACGCGGCAAACCTGCAAGAAAGCACCACTCCCTACCCAATGCACAGTGTTTTCTTGCAGGTTTGCCGCGTGGAAGGTTCGATGGACTTCTCGTGTGCTCTGGATGGCAGTCGTGAGTCAGTCAAGTGAGAATTAAGTCGGCAGAAAAAGCGCGAGCCCCCACGTAGGGAGCAACACACAATTCCCCTTGTACTTTCTTGCTGCATCTAATCAATATCCTTTTTATCGTGATGTTGCTCTTGGGCGCACATTAGAGGACAATATCCTCCGAATGATGCATATGTAACTTATCCCTATGTTGTGGATGGTGTCAAGACTCAAGAGTATATTGTGCTTGTGTTGGTGTGATCGCTATACGCTATTTGTTCTTGTTGTTCTTGTTCTTGTTCTTGTTGTGACTTTCAGCACAGACTGGTGCCCCTACCGCTGGCCAAAGGCAGGCAAAGGAGAGTGCTCGAGAAGCTCACAAGACAAGAAAGTCGCCAATCACAGATTTGCCAGAGTCCAATCTACCCCCACCTGGTGTAGAAATGGACAAGGAAGATACCAAGCCATCAGTGAAAAGGCGTATCATGTACCCACTTGTGTTTGGATCTCGGGACCGGAAAGTCAGCCGCAGCTACAAGCGTCTGATTGATCGGCTCAGAACCAAAGCAGGAAAATTGAAGACCAAGCATCCGCTGCAAGCGATCCACCCTGGTGGCATGTCTTCCGGAGGTATGTATGTGTGTGTGCGTGCGCCATTTCGTTGTGTGTGTGTGTGTGTGTGTGTGTGTGTGTGTGTGTGTGTGTGTGTGTGTGTGTGTGTGTGTGTGTGTATTGTGTATTGTGTATTGTGTATTGTGTGTATTGTGTGTGTGTGTGTGTGTGGGTGGGTGGGTGGGTGTGTGGGTGTTTGTGTGTGTGTGTGGGTGTGTATATGTGTGTATGTGTGGGTGTGTGTGTTTGAATTTGATATTGTCACTGTCGCGTCGTCCGTAGTCCTCCATCCGCAGTGGGCTAGCTACCCCTCGGATGTGTAGAGTTTCAGCTTCAAAGCAGCCAGAGTTTGGAGGTACCCGTCAGAGGCGCCCAGCTGGTGCTCTTGTCAAATTTGCTTCGTGGAACGTCAGGACTTAAGTGAACATCGATGGCCCGGTTTCAACTGCTGCTCGTGGAAAGCACGTCGTGGAAGACAAGAAAATCAACATCGTTGTCAGTGAACTACGTCGGTACGAAATAGAAGTGGCCGGATTCCAGGAGTCGAAGTGGTTTAGTAAAGATATATTCCGTGTCGAGGATGCAATTGTTCTCACGTCAGGTCGCGCCATCCCAACGGACGATATCAAACGAGGCGAAGGAGTTGGAGTCGTACTACGCGGACGCGCACAGCAAGCGTTCGTAGCAGGGGGAAGTCAGTGGTCTGCTGTCTCATCGCGTGTCGCACGCTGCAAGCTAAAGTTCGGTGACATTTGGGTCCACGTCGTGGTGTGCTACGCACCGACTTTCCGGTCCAGTCGCGATGCAAAGAACGACTTCTTTGACTCTCTTCAGGAAGTTATTCTGTCCGTACCCACCCAGGACTCCTTGATAATCTTGGGAGACTTCAACGCTAGAGTTGGAGCTGAAATCTGTGACGATGGCTGGTATGGAACACGTGGCCCACACGGTATTGGCATTGTCAATGAAGCTGGCGCTGAGCTTCTCCAGTTTTTAGCGTGCAACAGCCTTACTGTGTGCAACACCTGGTTCATGAAACGTAACATCCACAAGTGTACCTGGCAACATCCCCGCTCGAAGCGTTGGCACTGCATCGACTATGCAATGGTCCGGGAACAAGACCTGTCCAACTGCAAGGATTGCCATGTCATCAGGGGAGCTGAGTGTAGTACAGATCACAACCTTGTGTGTCTCACATACCGCATCCGCTCATCTGCTTGCCACAAGCGTGCAAAAAGACCTGTCAAGTTTGGTGTGCAACAACTTGTCAAACACTCCTGCATGACGGAAGCGCAGAGAGCTGCAACCTGTAAAACTCGTGAGCAATATGCGACGTCTGTTGCGTCAGAGTTACGATCCTGGAATCCTGATGGCTGCGTTGAGGACAAGTGGTCTGCCGTCAAATCTGCTATCGTCACCAGCGCTGAGAAGCACCTTGGCCGTCCATGTCGTCGCCAGCCTGATTGGTTTGAAGCGTGTGCTGATGTTCTTGCACCTATGCTGGATAGCCGCAATGCCTTACATCGCAAATGGCTCGCCTCTGGTTCTGACGCTGACAGGCGTCGCTTTGTCGAGGCTCGTAGCAAGTGCAGAGCTGCCGTGCGTAATGCAAAGAGTGAGTGGATTGGACGTAAAGCTAATGTGGTTGAGTCAAGTCGGTTTAGTGGCAAGCACGCATGGTCTGCAATCCGTGATATACAGAAGTGCTATTCGGGATTATCACCAATCTCCATCCCATCCATCCGTGACAGTGACGGAGTTATCTGTAGCTCCCAGGAGGGGCAAGAGAAATGCTGGCTGCAGCATTTTGCCCGTCTATTGAACATTTGCAGCACCTTCGATGCTACCATCTTTGACCACATTGAGCAGCGTGAAGTTGATAAGTCACTCGGCCAACTTCCCTCGCTAGAGGACCTCACTATGGCTATACGCCAGCTGGCTAATTGCAAGGCTCCTGGCTCATCTGGAATTGTACCTGAACTGCTTAAAGCTGGTGGTACACCATTGCTTGAGGCTCTGCTTGATGTTATTCACACTGCATGGACCAATGGAACGGTTTCCCAGGATTGGCAGGATGCCCAACTCGTCCCGATTCCCGAAAAGGGTGACTTGACCAACTGCAACAACTGGCGCGGCATTGCCCTCCTAGATGTCGCTGGCAAGGTTTGTGGCCGTCTCATTCAGGACCGTCTCCAACTTGTCGCGGAACAAGAACTTCCAGAATCTCAGTGTGGCTTTCGTCCTGGTCGCGGCTGTGCTGCTGCCATCTTTTCCATTCGCCAGCTCATCGAGAAATCGTATGAGCACCGTCAGAAGCTGTTCTGTGTCTTCGTAGACCTGAAGAAAGCATATGATTCCATACCACGCCAGGCACTCTGGCTAGCGTTGGGGAGGCTAGGCATTCCTGAAGGGCTCCTCAATCTAATCCAATCGTTCCACGAGAGCATGCAGGCAGCTGTGCGCGTCGGTGCCAGCACTACCGAGTCGTTTGCGGTCAACAATGGCCTCCGTCAAGGCTGTGTGATGGCCCCAGTACTTTTTAATCTGTACTTCGGTGTTGTGCTTGAGCGGTGGGCACAAGTGATGCAGGACAGCGACCATCCACCTGGCATCCCCATCCAATTTAGCAACAATGGCAACCTTTTCTCTAAGCCCGCTCGTCAGTCTACTGCCGCAATCATCAACGACATTGAGTACGCAGATGACGTGGTCTTGCTCGCTGAAGACCGCCCTGGTGCTGAGAAGTGCCTTGAAACATTCTGCACGGTTGCCTCTTCCTTTGGCCTCTGCGTCAACGCTGCGAAAACGAAATTTCTCGTGGCAGGTAGCCAAGTCAACATGCCTGATAGAGCCGATATGAACGTCAACGGTGATACTGTGGAGCACGTTCCATCCTTTATTTATCTGGGGTCCGTCGTGACACCGGATGCCCGCTCCTCCACTGACGTCAGTCGCCGCATAGCTGAGGCTTCCAAAGCCTTTGGAGCTCTTTCTTCCAGTCTTGTCGGATCGCTCGCTATCATTAATCAGGAAACGAAAGCTATACGTGGCCTGTGTCTTGTCCATTTTTGCTGTACGGCAGTGAGTGTTGGATGCCCTTGACAGCTGATAGTAGACGTTTGGATGCCTTCCATCATCGCTGCATCCGCACAATATTAGCCATCCCTCGCAGCCAGCAGCAATCCGATCGCATCACGTCTGCGCAGTTACGTCGTCACTGGGGTGACCCAGTGCCACTCTCTGTTAAGATGCGCCATTGTCGTTTAGCGTGGCTTGGTCATGTGGCTCGGATGTCGGAGGACCGTGTCCCATAGCAGCTTTTGTTTTGTTGTTTGTTGGCTGCGCGCCCCTTCTGCGGTCCCAGGCGCAGGTGGAGAGACGTTGTGGCTACCGACACGAAGTCCATTCCAGACTGGTTTGATTGCGCACAAGACCGGTCAGCTTGGCGAGAGCAGGTTCTGGTTTTTCAGCCTCCTCGGGCAGTAGAGAAATCCGTACTCTGCTCATCTTGCAACCGGGCTTTCTCTCGTCCTCAAGACAAGGCACGGCACAAGTGTTTGGCTGAGTGCCAACTTCCCGTCCACCAACAGCGTGGTTCAGCACAGTGCGTCAGGTGCGGCCGATGGTTCCGAAGTAAGGGTGGGCTTGCAGTTCATCGCTGCCAGCCTGCACCCCCTGAACATGCAGATACGGCATTGACGGCGTCTCTCGCTAGTTGCTGCTTTCAGCATTGTCAACGCTGCAATCGCTGCTTCAAGTCCCGGGCTGGTTTTAACCGCCATAACTGCAACCGTGGAAAACGTCTTGCTGCAGCCGATAGGGAATCACTGCTGCTGATCTTCATGCATTGCGCAAAGCGTTTCCTCCGACAGCAAGACTTGACGAGGCACCAGAAGTCCTGCCAATGACGGTGCCCTCCAAACTCTGGCCCCCTCCGGGGGTGACATTGCCCAATGGGCAGTCATGCTATAGTAGTAGTAGTAGTAGTAGTAGTAGTAGTAGTAGTAGTAGTGTGTGTGTGTGTGTGTGTATGTGTGTGTGTGTGTGTGTGTGTGTGTGTGTGTGTGTGTGTGTGTGTCAATGTGCGACAATGTTCGACGTTAGAGAGGTTCCGCATAACGTAATTACGTGAGTAAAAAACGTAGTCAATCTACGGAAAGTCTTACGTAAACTGCATGCGCATCTGTGTTCCGCCATACGGAGTTTTCAAATCACGTAGCTGCCCTTGGCAACTCCGAACGCGGCAGTGTACGACCAGATCGACCTGGGGAGAGAGTCATAAATTTGTAGCCCAATCCACTTACGGACCAGCTACGTTATCAGAGCCCTAGCTACGTACTCTACGTAGACAACTTTCCGTAAGTGGAGTGCAAACTCGCGAATTCACGGGTTTTCCCATCCAATAACGTAAAGTTGCTCAACTTTACGTAGTGTGGAACCTCTCTAATGTGTGACAATGTGTGACAGTGTGTGTGCCAGTAAGTTGGGTTGGTGTCTGCACTATTGCCAGATAATGGCTGGGTTTGTTGCCATCAGGCTCGCTGCTTGAAGGTGTATTGTCGTACCTGCCACATTTTTATTTTCACGGTCCATATAATTATTTTCTGTCTGAGGTATAATACCGAGGTATACGCTTATTGACCAATGGTCTACAGTCAACCTCGAATATGGCATCAACTCGCGAACCACGACATTATCTTTAGACCTAGTGACCATTTAGCTGCATACCTTCAACCTCGCGACGAACGATAACTCACAAATAACGGCACTTTGCAGGGTGTGTCGGTCGCTGGGCAGTTCAATAGCCAACTAAGTCATCTTTCCAAGATTCTTTTTAAATCTCTCTCCCCTCTCCCGACGGAGGCCCACGCGGCCAGTTTCTGGCAGTTCGCAAGTTCGCTTGTATGTGTGTGTGTTGGGGTGATTGTGGGTGCAAGTTGCGTATGGCTGTGATGTGCTTCTCAACCCTCTCTAAACTCTCATCTTCTGCTTGTCAATCTCTTAGGTGATTTGGTCTCTTACTGCAAGCGTATGGAGAAACTGACAGCAAAGAACCGAAATATCCATCGATGGCTTGAGGAAGCACGCATGTCACCTGATGAGCGTGAGGCCAAAGCCCGCATCGCAAAGGAACAGAAGTCGTTGGAGTTTAAGAAGAAATCCAAGTCCAAGGCCCTGGCAGTGCCGGAAAAGCCACAGAACAATGCCGATGTGCAACTGCGGCGCAACGTCAAGTTACTGAAGCTTGCTGAGACCATGGCCGCCAAGCCAGCTCTCAAGTATGCACCCACCGCCAACGGTATGTAGCGTGTGTGCATTACGGCCGTGTCATTGCTTACTCTGTGTATGTGTATGTGTGTGTGTGTGTGTGTGTGTGTGTGTGTGTGTGTGTGTGTGTGTGTGTGTGTGTGTGTGTGTGCATGCATGCGCGCGCATGTGTGCGTGTGTGTGTTTTTCAAGTCCACCCTAGAGTTTGGGGATTTCAGGGGGTGTCGGCCGTTGGGCGGTTCAATAGTCAATTGGGTCATCTTGCCAAGATTCCTTTTGAGTCTCTCTCCCCTCTCCCGGGAAGACCCACTTGACCAGTTTTGGCAGTGAGCAAGTACACGTGTGTGTGTGTGTGTGTGCACGTGTGTGTGTGTGTGCGCGCACGCGTGTGGTGCTATTTGAGAAAGTTCCTTCTTGTTAGGCGGTGTGGTGCACTAACTACTGCATGGGTGTATGCAACATCCACCCAGTCTAACTTGACATCTAATGTACGTAAGGGGTGGTCATGACCAAACGATCAAATCTAGACAACTTTTGGACAGGTATTTCCTGATCCCATATGGATCACTGCACCCAGGTACCATAAAGTACCGTTGATCCGCCCCCTCTCTAATTCCCGCCCCCTGTCGATTACTACTTGTGAAGGGACTTCGGCGTATACAACGAAATACAATGTTAAACCGACGTGTGCACTGCTGTACACAATACTTGCCAATCCAGGATGAAAACGTGCACAATCCAGCACATCGAGTCTGATCCTCTACGTTGTTGTACATCGTACTGCACTTGACAGCCTTGATCTAATTCCCGCCCCCTGCCGAAAACCCAGCTGGGAAGCGACATGGCGTAGGGGGGGGGGGGGGGGGGGGGGGCGGATCAACGGCACTTTACGGTACATGTATTCTTCAACGCGCTCGACTCGAGTACAACGAAGCGTACCATTATGGTACGGTTTGAGAAGTACAGTGCTTATCGCCTCTACATGTAAGGTTGGCGCCTATACTGCCTATAGTAATATACCTACTATAGTGATACATTTCTCAAATTCATTTTCATTTGCCATTGCTAAGTATACACAGTGACCGTGTATAGTAATACTTGTCTAGAGTAGTATTATATAGGGGTGAAACGAATATTAGAACTTTCCACTAGGTTCGCTCCGAGAGGGAGTTGAAGAGAATTTGATTTGTTGCTTCAAGGTGTCGAACGTTCGTCGCTGCATTCGTAAATGCATGCCGTCCCATGCTTGTACTGCAAATAACAATATACATGTATATCGCGCAGAGCTCATATTGTCAAGTTATACAAGAGAGAGAGAGAGAGAGAGAGAGAGAGAGAGAGAGAGAGAGAGAGAGAGAGAGAGAGAGAGAGAGAGAGAGAGAGAGAGAGAGAGAGAGAGAGAGAGAGAGAGAGAGAGAGAGAGAGAGAGAGAGAGAGAGAGAGAGAGAGAGAGAGAGAGAGAAAGTCAAGAAAAACGAGTGAAGATAGAAGGGCACTCTACTGTGACGAGAAGATCGCCATCGCTGACCTTCGTCACAGTAAGAATGTTGTCGTCGAACCGTCGGATAAGACCAAAGGCTTTGTTGTGATGTCACATGGTAGCTACGTCCAGAAAGTAAGTGAAATGCTGGAATGTCCTGAGAACTATGAGAAGTGTGATGTAGCCGTCGGCGATCTTGACAGACAGACACGCACTACCGTTGACGGCATCACTGTTGACAAACTTCAACCTGCACTCAACAAGTCGATACTTCCACACAACTCACGGAAAAGTCAATTTTACGGTCTCTCGAAGGACCACAATCCCCTGCTTCCTTTGCGACCTGTCATATCCACTTGTGGCTCGTCAACAAGCAATGTCTCCCTGCTGTTGGAGAGACTACTGAATCAGTTGCTCCGATTTGTCCCAGCCCATTTGCCAAACACGGAGGAATGTCTCCAGGAGTTAAGAACCCTTGGTAGTCTTCCGTCCGACTGTATTGTTGCGTCGCTGGATGTCGTGTCTCTGTACTCCAGCATCCCTGTCCCCGAGAGTATCGACGCTGTGATGAAGCTACTGGAGGAGCATCGAGATGGCAAGTTTATCCCGGAATTGCGCACTCAACAGATCATACCCCTCGTGCTTCAGGGGAGCACCGTAAGCCATCCGGAGGCATTTCCCTGTATAATGCGGGAGAGGGTGCGCGTTTCAGGCTGTGGCAGGTCACGGAGAATGGATTGGCTGATTTCAATAGAAATCACATCCCGTTCCTCGCTGCCTTGGCTTGGGATGCGACGACAGTGATCGCTGTGGTCATTGATGTTCATGGGGTTACCAGATTGGATGGAGTTGCGCAGGATGTCAGTTGCGTTTCTCGAGTTCTGGAATGCTTGGGGTGCTGAGTGGACAGGATCGGCCAGAAGCCAAGCCGCCATACTTGACTGGCAGGGTGAGGATGGCTGGGGCAAATTGCTCCAGGATGACGTCTCCTCTCCAAGGCCCTGGACAACACGCTGACGGTGTGACCACTCACATGATAGAGATCGATTGAGCGCACAATACGCGGACTGGGGATACTTCCTGGCAGCGGCGACAAGACAATTGTCTTGTCGCCGCTGCCAGGAAGTATCCCGACAAACAATTTCACTCCATCAGGTTCACCGATACAGCCTCCTAGGAAACGGGCGGATGTGGTTACTTTGATGTTCAGATCCCCGCAGATACACAGGTACACAGTGTGCAGTGTACAGTACACAGATACACTGTGTACCTGTGTACAGTACACAGATACACTGTGTACCTGTGTACAGTACACAGTGTACCAGTGTATCTGTGTACAGTACACAGATACACAGGTACACTGATACACTGTGTACCTGTGTACTGTACACAGGTACACAGTGTATCTGTGTACAGTACACTGCACACTGTGTACCTGTGTATCTGTGTACGTACACTGTGTACCACCAGTGTATCTGTGTACCTGTGTACTGTAGGGAACAGGCCTCTTTTACAGGCAAAATAAACACAATAAAAAGCCTTGCTTACGGTATTTTTGTTTTTGCGAGAAAAGACAGTGATAAGGACCATCAATGAAAAGGTATAATAGAATTAGAACTGAAAAAAACGAAAGGATAAAGGTAGTAGATGGGAGAGCCACGGAAAGAGAGGAAACCCAGAAAGAAAGAAAAACAGAACAAGACTCAGTGACCAATTCCAACGCCGGCACCGTCATGTACGGAGAGTCCCATAAGACGGCGACGGGAGCCTCCCAGACGCATGTCCACGGCGCTGAAAATGGCGAACTGCGTGGGCACGCGTACCCAAGCCATCATGGTGGAGAAGGGCTTCTCCCACTTCGCTGCTAAACGGCTGGCGAGACGCTTCTGGTAAGCACTGTACTCGCGGTGGAGGACAGCATCAGTGGAACACACCAAAGGAGTAAAGGAGCCTCGTGGCTCTTCAGCGGCATGCTTGTATTTCCGCTTCTTTGCTGCAGCTGCTTTGTTGGCGGTGGCATTCCAGGACAGGTTGGCCTTGGCATAACTGGGTGCGTCAGCATCTACGATGCGGTTATCGAAAAACGCCACCCGGTTGCCTTCCCATACTCCGCGAGCGAGCCAGTCCGCTTGGAGCATGGGCCGGCCATTCCTGTCCTGTTCAGGGATGAGGATCGGCTCGATGGTAACGCCGCCAAAGGCAATGTCGGCAAGCTTGGCATCACTGTCACGGAGGTCGTTGTGGCCTCTCTTGATAAGGCCGCCCTTATGGCAGTCAAGGCCGTGCTGGAGGGTGAAAGGGGCGCCACATCCGGTACAGTGAGACGGAAGGGAGTTGGGTTGCCTGCCGTAGCGGATTGCCAGCTGATCCCGAAACTGGGTCGCAGACATGTCGTAGCCTTCCTGACGGAGCGGTAGGGCAGTCAGCCAGCCGGAAGCATGTCCCTCGACGATGAGAGAGATAGAGTGCGCCGTTCCGTTTTGGGGAGGTCTTGAAGCTGTGTACAGTGTACACAGTGTACACTGTACACACTGCACACAGTGTGTACACTGTGTACACTGTGTACACTGTGTATTTTTTTAAAAACTTTTTTAACATTTATTGATTTATTTTTTTGAAAAACGTAAAAATGTTTGGCACCTATGAAATCAGGGGATGGCCCACGCCTGGTAAAAAAAAAAGAACAACAATGAGGAGCTACAGTGAGAAAAAGACAGTGATAAAGGACCATCAGTGAAAAGGTATAATAAGTTAGAAAAACAGAACGAGAACATGACTCAGTGGCCGATTCCAACGCCGGCACCGTCATGTACGGAGAGTCCCATAAGACGGCGACGGGAGCCTCGCAGACGCATGTCCACGGCGCTGAAAATGGCGAACTGAGTGCGCACGCGTACCCAACAGTGTACACAGCACACTGTTGTGTACATGTGTACTGTACACCGTACACAGTGTACAGTGTACACGGTGTACAGTATACATGTACACAACAGTGTGCTGTGTACACATCAAACAGGCCTGTTCATACAATCTTAAAAATAGACTGTATTTACACGAGAATGTTTTTCAACCGGTTCAGCCCGGGTTGAAAGTCTGTACGATAGACAAAATAGGTGGGTGTTTACATGAAGATAGTTGACCCGGTCGAATACTGATATGCCGCCAAAAGTCCACTCCTAGAGTCCTGTGTGATAACGTGAATACTTTCGCGTGAAATTTGCCTGTGCAGTGCTGTTCTAACCTGGCGCGAGATACGTGCATAAGTACAGTAGTACGATTTCTCGATTTAAACCCCCTCCGCCCAGGGACGGGTTGAAATCAACCCGGGGCGAAATTTCAACCCAGGTCAAGCGCAATGCATCATATACGCGCCGGTCAATGCGTATATGACGCATCATGGCGGGTTGAAATTTGACCCGGGTTGAAACGCCTCATTTAAACACAGCCTGAGACATGACTATCATGTCCTACACTGTGTGAACATGTACATGTATGTATGACCCACCTGCAATGGATACGGATGTACAGATGTACAGTAAGAAGTCGATGCACTGGTATTGGCTTGCATGTAGTGGCCTGGTTCAATGCCTGCCCCTGCAGCTGTGTACTTCACTCGCCTGTGTGTGTGTGTGTGTGTGTGTGTGTGTGTGTGTGCGTGCGTGCGTGTGTGTGTGTGTGCGTGCGTGCGTGCATGTGCGCGCTGTATTCAGTAATGCTTTGTATATTTGGTAGTCCTTGTGTGAGACGGACTGTAGGTACTGACAATGCTTCAGTTTATTTTCAAGTACCATTTTAATGTATAGTAAAGAAAATGGACCAGGGAACTACAAATTACGCTATAATGTCCACTAACACCACCAGTTACTTGACAATCAGCTCATGCGATAACATTGCACGAAACTGACCGACAGTCCTGACGTTCTACAACTAACTGACTATCAGCTCTATCACGTCTTGGGTGCGCACTCCAACAGCCTTCCAACTTGGAAGGTTCTAAGTTATATGAAAACATAGGAGGGGAGGGTGAGCGCAACCAAGACAAGCACAAGCTGAAAGTCTCAGCTGTGAAGGACGTTGGCGGATGTTTATGCATGTCGATGACGATACTGGCAAGACCATTAGACAATACGGTCAAACCATGATTCAAGGACGCATAGCAACATACCACACAACATAGTTAGTTGTAGAACGTCAGTACTGTCGGTCAGTTTTGTGCAATGTTATCGCATGAGTTGATTGTCAAGTAACTGGTGCTGTTAGTGGACATTATAGCGTAACTTGTAGTTCCTTGGTCCTTTTTCTTTACTATAAATTAATCATTGGCTCTCCATCCGAGTCTACCATTATAACCTTGCCGATTCTCTCCATGTCCGTCTGGCTGCCTGCTCCTGGCTTGTTTCTTCTGTTCCCTTTGCACTACAGAGCATGACACGGAGATGTATCTGAAGAACGAAGCTCGGCTTCAGTTTATGTCTCATGAACTGCGTCACATGCCTAGTGATCGTGAGGGCAGTGAACGTGATATTATGGCCAGGGATTGTTCGCCGCGATCAGCGGTGGTCGGCCATGAACGTCATGTAAGTGGCCTGCTGCTGGCACATCCGTTTTCCACAAAAATGTCCGGATAGGCGAGGGAACCGGATAATCGAACACACATACTGTATGTATGCATGACATATGCTGTAAATCGGTAACTAACGATTTTCTTGCGGATAGCGAAGGATCCGGATAAGTGAGGTCTGACTGTACTAGTTTCCTCTGTCTTCCCACTTGTTCGGATTCAGTATGGGGTGTGTCTCAGCATGTTGATTTGCTCTACCATTTGCTGTGCCAATGTTGGCTACTCAATCTCCGAGCACAGCCGGACACAGGCCAATTGATTAGGAGTGAAGCGAGTACTAGTATGCCGATTCCTGTGGTACTCGCTTGAAGATGGAAAAAACTCGACACAAATGCTCGTTCTGAAAAAGTCCTTGAAGTAGAAATGCCTTCACTGCAAGCAAGGAGCAGGACATGTCCATTGTTGTACTGTCTCATGCGCTGGCAGCAGCGTAGCTCGGGTGTTGTGCAGCTCAGGGGTGCGAAATGCAAGGAGCACATGTGCCTACTGCAGTTGCGTACACTGCACAGCTGCTGACACTGTACAACCCTCAACAAAATTAGCATGGTTCTTAAAAAGGACAACATACTCGAACAACTGAGTACTGGCATTTGCTCGGGTTCTTACCGAGTACTCTAACAATAGATATAATAATGGTATTAGTACTCGTTCACCTTTACTTTGAAGTAGACTGGAATGTCGGGTTAGTAATCTTCACCTAAGCACAGCAGAAATTTCCATGCAAACTGACCGGCACGTTTTGAGTGGCCCAAATAGCCTGTATGTTATCACTTCAAAATCACCACATTTAAATTACCGGTTCCGACACCCATGGGCAATGCAATATTGAATATATGAATTGACTGCATGCGTTCTTGTTTTCCTGTACATGGGCATCCAAGTCAGTTTCTGTTCAGCATATTTCCATTCCTCACGGGCTTTGCTTGCTTGCTGGCTGCAGAGGCAAACCCGTTTCCACGACTGCGTGACCATCTCAGTGAAAGGAGGCCATGGCGGTGATGGCCGTCAGAAGTCGCGCAGTGTTGGTGGTGACGGTGGTAACATCTACATTGAGGCTGTGCAAGGTGTGTCGTTGGATGCTCTTGCAAATCTTCCTGTGCGCCGCTTCACATCGGAACTTGGTGGCAATGGAGAGTGAGTGTTTGTGTTTGTGGAGCATACAGTAACTATTGTTAGGTACTATAGCTCTGTGAAGACTACAGAAGTGTAAAGGCTGCACATTCACTGTAACTGCTGTAGCCACTAGCTATACTTGTGTTGAGGTAACTTTTAAGTGCGCATTGAGTGCATGATGTGCATGATGTGCGTGCGTGTGTGTGTGTGTGTGTGTGTGTGTGTGTGTGTGTGTGTGTGTGTGTGTGTGTGTGTGTGTGTGTGTGTGTGTGTGTGTGTGTGTGTGTGTGTGTGTGTGTGTGTGTCACTTCTCATGATCACTACAGTGTGAGCAAGCTGAAGGGTCGCCGTGGCAATGACATGATCATCTCAGTACCAGTAGGTACAGTTGTTACCAAGCTATCTGGCGAGGCCGGCGGCAAGATGAGTTCTGATCTGAATCATGACAGCCAGAAAGTACTGGTAAGCTGCAGTTGATCTGCTATCATCAGTGCTGCCAACCTTCCCTATTTTTCCGTATTTGTACGGAAATTCACTCCTTTGCCCGCAGTACGGAAATTGACTGAAATTGTACGGAAAACTGAGAAGTATGGATCAGCTGACTATGAACCAGTTTTTCTCCATGTACATGGCATGGTACTACATGTACATGACTATGTACACAGTAATTGAATGCAGAGCACATACAATGTACTTGTAAAACTGCGGAGTAGACTTACTATCACGCTAAAAACAGTGTTCCTGGCTGCAACCTCGAGCCTCAGACAGTGACAAAGCTTTCAAGCGCTGTGTAGATCTACGTGTGCTGGCTAGGCTACAGTGCGCGTGACGCATTACTTCCTGGGACCAAGACCATGTACGACTTACTGAGTACCCGGCACATGTATGCAGTACCCCGAACTGGGCCGAATTCGCGCGAAGACTACAAATGTCGCAAAAAATACATTATAAATCATGGGATTAAAAAAATTGGTAGTACGGAAAACTCTGGAAAATACGGAAATTCAGCAGTCCGAGTACGCAAATCAGACCGAGCAGGTTGGCAGCACTGTATCATGGCCAGCTCTGGACAGCATAGCTCTCTCTGTCTCTGTCTCTCTTTGTCTCTCTCTCTGTCTCTCACTCTCTCTCTCACTCTCCGGGTCATAACTTTGGTCTCCTTCCCTCTGCAATCTTGGGCTTCCTGAAAAGCTCGTTACAAGAGGGAAACATTAGGCCGACATTTGCTACCACGAGGGTCAAAATACCAGTGCCTTGGTTTCAACGCCAATATTCTGCAAGAAATGACAGGGTTACAGTCAATTGAAGATTCAATTATGTACATGTATGGTCGAAAGTTGTACATGCCATCTACAACGCATTATAAAAGTCCCCTTCCCACCCCCATTTTCAAGTCATATGATTCAGTATGTTCACCTCAGTAATAAATCACACTTGACTGTAAGTCGCACTCCCTTGTTCAACCTTGAAGTTTGTTGTAAAAAGGTACTACTTATATTCTGGGAAATACGTTTGAGAGCATCAGTAAGCATATTCACCCAATCTTCATTCACTAAAATAAGAAGTGTTGACAGAACAATTCGTCGTATCATCGCCGCAGTAGAAATCTGTTTTGTTATAAGAACCAATGTCAAAACCGGTATGTGCCTGTACCGTAAAGTGCCGTTGATCCGTCACTGTGTGCAGTAGTCCCCAAGACTGCTTGGCAATGTACTCTGCTGCCAATGGTGCTGTTGATGGCAGCTCTATTTCTGGTGGTGGTTATGCTTTCACCTGGTAATTTTTCCAGCTATGACTCGCTCTGACTTGCTCTGACCTGTTTTCACCTGTTTTCACCTGCTTTTGAAACCCTTCACTACATAGGTTGCCAAAGGTGGCACAGGTGGTTCAGTGTTCACGGAGCCACCGTGGAAGGGCACACTGGGTCAGAGGCAGTCACTGCGCTTGGAGCTGAAGATGTTGGCAGACGTTGGACTGGTTGGGTAAGGCGTGTTGCTATTAGTCAGGTGGTTCTGTTCTACATGACAGGAGCGCAACGTGAATGGTTTGGAGTACTGGTGTTCTTGGGCTTCATGTATTGCAAAGAAGAAATCACGTTCCGAATATGGTATTTATCATCCTGCTGCTGAATTTAGTGATACACACCATATCCTTCTTTGCATACGCCACAATGTAGAAATCTGGACCCCAACCCTGAGAAGCCATAGACTCTATAAATTAAAACCCGCCTGGGTTTTCTTACGTGACTTTTCTTGCGCTTTCTCCACATTTCACATGAAGCGGAACCTCACTACTGTCCTTGTCGACTGTGTAGTGTGTGCAGCACTCTGTAGCTGTACGTAGTCTACAGAACGTTGTGCCAGTTGCCAGGAAAGTACTGAATGCAGTACAGAGTGTGGAGCTACACTCATACATGTACCTCGTTTATCTGGGCGGTTCGGGACCCGACACTGCCCATAACACGGGCATAACTTTGAAATAACCGCAACTCTGCACCACATACCGTATTTTTCCGGTTGTAAGTCGACCTTTTACGACTAAAAATAGAAGGAAAAAGAGTGGGGGTCGACTTACAACCGGGATTCGACTTATAACCGGGAACTATCAGTATCTTGCAAAACGTGACCTGCACTGCATGCAGGAGAGCACCATGTGTACACATTTTTGCCAGTTTATTGGCCTTTTTAAAGGATTGGGAAGTTATAATCTCCAATAAGGAATGTTTACATGATTTGTTCAGTTGATGTGTTAGTAGCAGGGAGTGGTTAGTAGTGCTTCGTTGGGTGAAAACTTTAAAACGCAGAATTGAGACCTCCGGATATGGGGGTCGACCTATAACCGGGGTCGACTTACAACCGGTAAAATACGGTACGTTTTTGATGGGGAAAGGCCAGGGATTTGGCATACATGTATGACATTACTAAGTCCAAAAAAGTGACACAAAAGAGTACAGTAGTAATATTTGCTCTAAAACTCGCCGAAAGGGTGCCAGGTAAATTGAAGTGCCCGTAAGTTGGGTGTCCGGAGACTTGACGTATGAGTGTATTCATAGTGCCTACAAGCAATCACCACACGACTGATACAAGTAGTAAACCCCAGAGAGCCATCATCATGATGATACTGGTGATACTTTCCAGCAGCAGCAGTATTTTGGATGAGCTATTGAGTGTATGGTTTTGTGGTAGTAGGGGTGAAACAATTATACCGAATACTCGAATACTCGCTCGGTTTTTCAGAAATATTCGTACTCGGAATAAATCAGAGTACTCGTTCCTACGTGGTACATGCATTTACCACAGAAATCTGCAGTTTCAGAGCAGCCAATCGGCAGATATTGATGTGCAGACTGTGTGGTGAACATTTGTTCAAGAGTAGAGAGAGCCCAAATGACCCAGCAACCAATATACCAGAGAAAAATGGCTGCCATTCGGTTCAATCAGGGGTGTATCATGTGATTTTAAGGCCCTCGGTGTGCAATTTTTAGGAGATGAAGAATACTCGAATACTCGAATATTCGATCGGAGAAAATCAGAGTACTCGAACTCGGGATCTCAATGCCAACTTTCACCCCTATGTGGTAGTATGCTCACCTTTATGCAACAATATCATCTGGTGTGTTGTGTTTGACCTACAGCTTTCCCAATGCTGGAAAGAGTACGCTACTCTCACGAATGTCGCGCTCTGAGCCAAAGATTGCCTCGTATCCGTGTAAGTAGTATCAGGCACTTTGATGCTTGCCTCGTGCAGCACAGAAAGTGCACCCGTGCTCAGATTTCAATTGTCAGCATGTTTAAGCCGTTAACAACGTGTGCATTGATCATGTACATCTCTTAACTAACCTGAAATACGGAAAGGCATGACGGGAATTCCCAATGCTTAGTGCAATACAGGTCAGACCTCGCTATAACGACCCTCACTGTGACATAAAGTCATAAACTTCACTATACATGTACGAAATGCAAATGTCCCTGCCGAAACTGCTTCTCTTCCTCGCGATAACATTATCTGCTACTAGTATAGCGTAATTTTCGCTATAACACACCGTTCCGCAGTGTTTGCTTGGTCCCATGCGCACAAAGACCTCAGCATAACACGAAACGTCATACAGCCGAGTGTCTTTCCGGCCCTACTCACTTTCTTTTCTTGAAATTTCTGCTCACGGCTGCATACCATTGCTTGCATTCAACGCACATACTGGCATTCATGCGTTCTTCCAATACTACAGTCGTGTGGACTCGGTACATACTGTGTGCTTCGAAGTAGTGCTTTCAAAAGTAGACACACTGGAACATCCACGCACTTCCCGAGTTGATCAGAGTGGATCTTTAGTGCTACAGTTGTTATCAGTAAGCAAATAGCGTCATTTTGATGTGCATGTTGCATGTTGGTGCGCCCAACCCACTATAACATAAACCTCGCTATAAGATAACAATTTCCACACTGCAGAGATTACGTCCTAGCGAGGTTTGACCTGTAGTGCTGTAGTGCACCGTCAGTGCTACCTGCCACTGTCTTCTCTTACATACTGAAAATGTGTTTTGTAAATTGGGTGGTCCAAACAAACTCCAGACTCATGCGGTTTATCAGCAAGTTGCTGTCTTGCGCAGTCTTGTTTGTGTTGTGCCCATGCTCTTGTGTTCGGGTCAATGTTGCCATTCTAATAATGGAAAAAGCGGTTTGAAAGGTATTGGATTTCGGCTGTAAGGTCTAGTCTGTGTTCTGCCTTACCCTCACCCGGCATACTTGTCTGCTGCTGCTGCTGTTGTTATTGTGTGATGCTGTTCAGTCACGACCATTCGTCCTCAGATTGGTATTGTCAATTATCTTGCTGGAGAGCGGGTAAGATGGTGTGACACAACAGTACAGTCCTGTACCCTCTGCATGCACTTCCCATCCTACATGTACCCTCTGCATGCACTTCCCATCCTACATGTACCCTCTGCATGCACTTCCCATCCTACATGTACCCTCTGCATGCACTGCTTATCCTAATAATAATGATAGTAATATCTAAACTTTTCTGTCAACTGAGCAAGAAGTATGTACAATTTTCAGGGTATTAGAATCCGTACATGTCTGTTCATTTTTTCACTTTTTTCACTTCTAAGTGCTTTAGTTGACACTGATGTGTAGGTTTTGCGACAGTTCACAGAATCCAATTTCACCGTGTGACGTTTCACAGATTCCCAACTCACAGAATGACACTTCACAGAGTGCCAGTCTCACAGAATGCACTATTCACCGACACCCAATTCAACGAAACCCCATTTCACAGACTGACTTATTCACAGACAGCCCATTTCGCCGAGAATGGACAAAAGTGGGAAAATGAGCATTCGAGCATTCGTACATTGGAACGCTCTGCCCAAATGGGCAACGGCGGACACCACTGTTCCCGATTGCGCTGTGGAACGTACACGACCGCACTCTGATGGGAGAGGACTGCACAAACAACGCCCAAGAAGGATGGCATCGTCGGTTTGCATCGATAGTCACCTGCCACCATCCGACTATTTGAAAGGTTATCGAGTGTTTGAAAATGGAACAGGCCACCACGGAACGAGAGCTTGAGCGGCTTGTGGCAGGAAACTCTGGTCCTAAGCGGAAGAAGAGATATCAGCAATGTGATGAACGGCTGAGGGCTCTGCTACAGTCCGTCGAGCAGCGACCACCAAGAGAGTTCCTCCGTGGAGTAGCACATAATTTTGGCGTTCAATGTTGTGTATAGTAAATGACCATGTCACACGTGCATACTCTCATATTCTTCATATTTTGCTTTCTTTCGAAACAATGCATTTTTGAGTGCATGCCTGATCAAATTCGGTGAAATGGGCTGTCGATGAAAACAGTGCTCTGTGAACTGTCTTTCGGTGAATTGGGTATCCTGTGAAATGGGCTGTCTGTCAAAAAGGTAGTCTGTGAAATGTCATTCAGTGAACTGTTGTTCTGTGAATTGGGTTTCTGTGAACTGTCGGGACACCGTAATATATAGACGATGCATATAATGACTGTAAAGTGTGTAGCTGGTGCAGCTAGTCTGATTGCCAGTTTCACGACGACAACTTTCCTGCTGAGAACAAGACTGGGATTCCTTGAATAATCCAGTGAACGGTTTTTTGTTTGTTTGAAATGTTAATCCTTGCTGTGAGTGCGCACATTGCCCTATTTATTGTGGTAATTCCTTTAATCTCATGAACACTTCATTTTACACGTGTTGCACATGTGTGTGTGCGCGTGCATGCGTGTGTGTGTGCGTGTGCGTGCGTTTCCTCTCGTACTTGACCACATTGCTCATGCAGGTAAGCATGGCCGATCTACCGGGTTTGATCGAAGGCGCTCACATGAACATCGGTCTCGGTCACCGGTTCCTGCGTCACTTGGAGCGCTGCAAGGTCCTACTGTACATGGTGGATATCAATGGCTTCCAATTGTCACTCCATGATGAGATGCGATCGCCTCTTGAAAACATTGAGATTCTTGCGGAGGTGAGTAACACTGCACTTTGGTAGCTGAGGGATGAATGGACGTGAGGTCCTGAGTTTTTTTTGCTTTTCTTCTGTACATCACATTCGGGGGCTCTAGGTTCGGAAGGACAATCTTGACCTAGGCAGATGCTGAGTTTCTCATCTAACAGAATTGATACTACGGTTTCCTTGCTGGAAAAGAAGGCTGGACTCCAGTTTAATCTGTGTTCATTTTACTTCATTGAAATAATGTGCAAAGTGCCTAGAATCACTACCATCATGATTGTGATGTATGCTACGATTGCTTGAAGCTGTACCTGGTGCAACTCACTGCATTTTATTGTTGTTCTCTTGGTGTATTGTGCACTGCAGGAGCTGGAAATGTACAAGGAAGGTCTAAGTCAGCGTCCCGCCATCCTGTGCATTACCAAGATGGACACCCCCGGCGCCGTAGAGAAGTGCCGGGAACTGATGGTGCACCTCAAGAATTACATGGTGGATGGTGCTACTAGTACGTCTCTCGCTTTTACTGTATACATGATTATGTGTGTGTGTGTGTGTGTGTGTGTGTGTGTGTGTGTGTGTGTGTGTGTGTGTGTGTGTGTGTGTGTGTGTGTGTGTGTGTGTGTGTGTGTGTGTGTGTGTGTGTGTGTGTGTGTGTGTGTGTGTGTGTGTGTGTGTGTGTGTGTGTGTGTGTGTGTGTGTGTGTGTGTGTGTGTGTGTGTGTGTGTGTGTGTGTGTGTGTGTGTGTGTGTGTGTGTGTGTGTGTGTGTGTGTGTGTGTGTGTGTGTGTGTGTGTGTGTGTGTGTGTGTGTGTGTGTGTGTGTGTGTGTGTGTGTGTGTGTGTGTGTGTGTGTGTGTGTGTGTGTGTGTGTGTGTGTGTGTGTGTGTGTGTGTGTGTGTGTGTGTGTGTGTGTGTGTGTGTGTGCGTGTGTGTGTGTGTGCTTGCGTGCGTTTGTGTGCATGGATGCATGTGTGCATGGATGCCTGTGTACAAAAGTGCTAGCCAGTATTATCAGCATCGGCATGGTCAGACCCTCCAAAGTCACCACTAACAAGCAATGTGCCCTGTCAACGTTGCAATCTCCGCTGTGCCCATCTCAACAGTTGTGTGTTACGGCTTGCATACCAAGGCATGAAACGTCACGAATGTAGACGTGGCTCTGTGGTTGTGTGATTATGGCAACATGTCCATAGCCACTTCAGTTGTGGAATCGTTTTACATTGAGAATAGTGTCAATCATACGCTCCCAAGAACGTGCGCTCTGGATACCCTTTCTACGGGGTCTGCTGACGGCGAAAACTCACATCACATGGTTTAGTGTTCCCATTGTACGTGCCCAGCCCGTTTTTAGCGAGTGGTGGAGAAGTAATAATAGCTCTCTCCCTCTGACAAAAACCCACTCCGCTTATACGAGTCATCAGCAGATCATAGGAGATATTTGAACTGCGCACACGCTGCCTGTACAAATCGTACTTGGAACATGTGATGTGAGTTTTCGCCAGAGTTGCATAATCTTGGTGTCACTACATTTCTTGTGTAGATGTATGTGGTATATGACTCACTTTTTTCCATTACTCAAAATGCAAAACCTAGTGGGCAAGTTACGAGCATATGTGTATTTTTTCTGCACCTTGTCCTCGCCCACTTACTGAGGTGTGGTGAGCCCATAAGTAGGATCATTTCAAAGTCCACCTGAAGTTTGGGGATTTCAGGGGGTGTTGGCCGTTGGGCGGTTCAATAGCCAATTGAGTTATCTTTCTAAGATCCCTTTTGAGTCTCTCTTCCCTCCACCGGGGAGACCCACTGTATCGATTTTGGCAGTGAGCAAGTACAAGTCTGTCTACCTGTCTGTATGTATGACTCTCTGGTATTCCGATTGAGGCATTGAGTCTTGCTCCTCTTGTGTGGCTTGATTATCCGCAGTTTTTTTAAGTGTTAATGAATCTTCTAGCTGGATCTGTGCTAGTATATTATCATATGGATAATCAAGATTCTGCTCAATGTCTATCTGTCTGTTTTTCTGCCCGCCTGCCTCCTACTGCTGTCTGTCTGTCTGTCTGTCTACCTGTCTGTCTGTCTACCTGTCTGTCTGTCTGTACTTTGTGTAGTTCCTGATCTGGATGCATACAAAAACTTTGTAGAAGAAACACCCATCCACGAAGGGGAGAGGATGAAGTTCTTGCCTGAGGAAGATCATATCCTTCAAGCACCTCTCCTGACAGCTGAGGGTCAGTTAGAAGAAAAGCCAATGGTGGACATTGATGCAGGTGAAGTGCTGGCTCACCTCGGTGAGAGCTCGGCACCGATTTCTGAAGATGGTGCCATCCATGTGTCTGACTTCCCTGTCCCAGCGCATGAGATGACCGGTTACCACGCTGGTAACCCGCTGCTGAAAGACGAGGTGTCTGCCGAAGCAAGGCGCATTATCGATGCACCCATCTCACCGGAGAATGTCTCCCGTTCAACTGTGCTGGAGCAGCAGCGGCGCTCTATGTCGGTTGGGAAGATCGAGGCTGCTCGGGATGTGCGTGAGCGAGCGCAGCGCCAGCGTGAGCAGCTGCGTGGCTTGGCCATGGGCTTCGAGTACGAGAAGTCCCCGCTAGACCAGGCAGACGAGAGAACTTTTAGGAACGTTAGTGCCCAGGATCTAGATGTCAGTCCTGAAGGGTATACTCCTCTGCAAGATGAGAGCATCGCGGAAAAGGAACAAGTAGATGATGGCGCAATCGATGGCAGGATGGACGAGGAGGAAACATCGTTAATGTCGCTCGGTGAAAGTGCACTTGCCACCAGTGCATCTTCACGTCAACGCAAGGCTGCCACTAATAGCCTGGCAGTGCGGCGACCAAAGCCCACCATCAGATTTCAACAGGTCATTCCAATCTCTTGCCGGCGAGAGTTACAGGGTCTCGACTTCCTCTATCTCACCATGCGTGGCGTCGTCAAGGCTTCCAAGCAAATGAGCGGTGAGCGTGTCAACTTCACTCAGCAGCTGGTCCGTTCTGAATCACCGGAGTTGCATGGTGAAGAGCTGGAGGAGGCACAGCGGTTCACACAGATGGCGCAGCGGGCCGAGGATGCCCAAAAGTAACATTGAACTTGCTTTTACTGGACATTTATTTTCTTTCTCTGCCTTCCTTCCTTCACCCAAGACTCCACTATGATCTTGTATTTGTGACTTTAACATACCAACTTGATGTTGAGATTCAACTGATCGGTACATTTGTGCAGCCCGTCTGCATCAGTCATCATGATACAGGAGCCTTGCAGAGCTAGTGGTGTGTGTGTGTGTGTGTGTGTGTGTGTGTGTGTGCGTGCGTGCGTGCGTGTGTGATGATTGGACCACCTCACCACCACTGTCTGCGCTGGCTTGGGCATATTGCATGTGTGAGCCTGGAGTGGATGCCTCAGCAAGTTCTCTTCAGAGAATTACAGCTTACCTGTAACTGGTACATGATTGTGCACTACAGCCACACTGGCCCACAGGTAGGCTACAGGCAGGTTACATCATACATGTACCGCTATGTAGATATTGAATGCACACTTAAAAATAGCATAGATCCTTGGCTTGGAAAGCCACACGAACAGGAATGCTATCATTCTATCAATCAACCAATACAATGCACGGTGGACTCTGGACAAAATTATTGATAGTCGATTGAAAAATAAATACCAGTACCAGACGTCTACGGCCAGTCTACACTGGATGCCCTTTGATATCGACTCCAGCATGATCAGGCATGAGGGCAAATCCTGTGAAGAGCCACTTTCTTTTCATGTATCAGTGATCTGGTGATGTTCACAGGGCAGCAGCTGGCTGGCATTGGAATGCAGTCGATCCTGGTAAATCTACGTCGGGTTCATACACAGTCAGTACCGCGTACCGGTAGATCTACCTGGCCTCGTAGATTCTACGATCGTAGACCCTCTCTCTCTGGTCTACTAGCTCAGAGCATGCATGCAGCGCAACAACTCAGAAAGCACACGTGCGCAGCACAGGTATTAGTATTAGTACTACAAAGAAGTGACTTCACTGACTTGAACCACTTGACTTCTTTGTGAAAGATTTTCAGACGTAGCGTTTTGGCCAACCACCTGGACGATCCTACGAGGCTATCCAGCTATCCTTGATGTGTTGGAGCGACCAAAGATCTTGTTTTTTGGTCGAAGGTTAGGCCGTAGTGTATTTAACTGTAGCCATGGCGGAAAAATCTTGCAACGGGTTGACTTCAGCCGATGGTGGCGCTTGGGTTGTTGACATTTCCACCGAGGCCAAACTAACCATCAATCCCATTAGAGCTATCGTGGACGCGCTGAAAGTCGAGCCGAATCCCGACAAAGAAGTCATTCGTCTCTCCATTGGTAGGTCGTATACTTGTGCGCGACAATTTATCGCAGAGAACCTTTCTTGTGCATGAAATCCAAGAAAGAGCACGTTGTGATGTTTCCAATCATTGACTCATGAAAGACCGATAAGATTCCTTCTTTTTTTTGCGGATGAGAGAAGAGCAGTTTTCGTTCCAGTCTTGAACCGCGAGCAGATTTTGGATTTTAATATCAGGGTGCGAAAAGCAATCAGGGAGAAGACAATTATTATTATTTTAGTTATGGGGTTTGTGTATGCATGTGGTCTTGGGTGTAGCAGAAGCCAATATTCTGATTATCCCTCTCGATTTCTAACCATCCATGTCACGTGAAAATATGAAAAATAGATTTATAGACCTTCAGTTACAGTTGAGTACCTGTTGTCAGTCGTTCTGGTACTAGCATTCGTAAGTGACTTGTTCCTCATGTTTTATAGGCAGGTTTGAGCGGAGATCGTGATAACAGGACGGGTGATAATGCGCTCAGCAGTTCTCTGGTAGTGGTACTGCGACACACACACACACACACACACACACACACACACACACACACACACCATGTACCACACACACACACACACGTGCCACACACACACACACACACACACACACACACACCATGTACCACACACCATGTACCACACACCATGTACCACACACACACACACACACACACACACACACACACACACACACACACACACACACACACACACACACACACACACACACACACACACACACACACACACACACACACACACACACACACACACACACACAGTAGTCATGTGACTATTTACTGGTCTGAAATATGGATGTTGGAGAGTACGAGTGGTTTTGTATTTGTTGGCAAGAAAACCGTCCATTCTACTTTTTGCTCAGAATCATAGTCATAGGAGACTGAGGACAAGAAAAACGTGTAACCAGGTTCAAATGTAACAAGCCACGGTGTGCATCGGGCAATGTTCATCATTATGACTTTATGATTGTGTGTGGATCACAGTGAGAAACACACCTCAAACAATACACAATGTCGTTTTTAGGAGATCCTGGCAAAGTGGGTAATACAAAAACTAACTAAAACTGTTCCTGTACTCGACCTCCGGCTCCTGTGACAAGTGTTCCTGCACGTGTGACTTGTGGAGTATTGTTACCTGTACCAGTAGTTGAAAACTCCTCTCCTGACCGTAATATCCCTTGCATGCCTTTCCTATTTCATGGCTCTGTCAGAATTTGGTTTGTCTTTGTACTGACGATAGGAATGCATGTCATCAATCTCTGGGTAGTGGAAATGCCCTCAGTCCCTCACATACTGACCAGGATGTGACAGGTGGATTTACTACTTCGGAGTACATCATGGCTATCTGCATTTATACTCTGCACCAAACTATAGTCCAATGCAGCATAGAGTAATACCTTAGCAAGTCATGATTGCAGGATTGCACATGACCTAGTTGACCTAATTGACCTAGTTGGCAGGCCTGTGTCATGCTGTGTCATGGGTGACCTGTCATCCCTGGGTCCCTGCCCTGGACTTGCCTTGTCATTTGAAGTTCCAGTAAAGAAAGCGTCCTGGAATCGTGGTTTGACCGTATTGTCCAATGGTCTTGCCAGTCTCGTCATCGAAACGTTTATCACCGGTGCACCTACCTCAGTACAGACTACAGTACCTGTCAGGGACAGTGTCAGTGTGTTGCCCTCCCCTAACCTAAGGCCTAACCTACCCCACACTGCTGGCTGCACTGCTAGTTCTGCTTGCCACTCTGCAGTTACTTGTGCAAGACATGTTACTTGTGCAAGACCTGTTACTTGTGCAAGACCTGTTACTTGTGCAAGACCTGTTACTTGTGCAAGACCTGTAACTAACAATATGCAAGATCTGTAACCGTACACTGACTGACAGTACAGTACTCAGTAGCATACATGTACGTGATGTAGTAGCTAGTTGGTGCTTGATTATCACTGCTCACTGACAATGACACTGGGTGTTACCATCAAAGTCAGTGCACTGAGTGGATCACACTAAAGCGGGTGGGTTGAGTAATGACTTTTAACTAGTGCCCAGATAATTACACATTTCACCCTGAGGGCTTTATTCCGGTACAAATACATGGAGTGTGTGTGTAATGATGGTGTGCTTGCTTGTACATGTACACAAATTGAACAGTTTGTCAGTTTAGTGGTGAGATGAGCTGCAAGAGTAGGAGGTGTTAGTCACCACCTTACTTTATTTAACGTCCCTATGCACTATGTCCCTATGCACTATGTCCCTATGCACTATGTCCCTATGCACTATGTCCCTATGCACTATGTCCCTATGCACTATGTACAGTGTACAGTGCAGATATGCCCTTGTATGCCACCGTCTTGCCCATTTTACCTGTGGGCACTGCGTTTTGTTTTTCTCCTGTCCGTTGTTGTTTCTGTATGCGAAAAACCAGCGGTTCTGCAAAATCTAAGGTGTGTGTGTGTGTGTGTGTGTGTGTGTGTTTAGGGTTTTCAAGGGGTATCGGCTGTTGGGCGGTTCAATAGCCAATTGAGTCCTTTTTTCCAAGATTCCTTCGGAATTTCTTTCCCCTCTCCCTGGAAGACCCACGTAGCCAGTTTCTGGCAGTGAGCAAGTGCAAAGTGTGTGTTTGTGCTTGTGCGTGCTTGTGTTTGTATTTGTGTGTGCAGGTGACCCAACTGCATATGGCAATCTACCGCCGTCCAAGCTTGTATCCAGTGCTGTCGCGGAAGAAGTTGAGAATGGCCAAAGCAATGGCTACTGCTTGTCTTTCGGTATGCACATCACATTACTCTGATCTTAGCTGTGTGGCATGTATGTGCTCATAAACTGTTACTTGTGCTGCTGCTGCTCCGTCGTGCGGGACATGTTATGAGGCGCAGTGGAGTCAGACCTCTTTAATTCGGCAGCATGCGTTTGGCTGATTTCTACTGGAGTATGGAGGGTGTTGGATAAACGAGTACGCACACATAGCAGTGCAGTGTGTTAACAAGTGCGCACACATAGCAGTACAGTGTGTTAACAAGTACGCACACATAGCAGTACAGTGTGTTAACGAGTGCGCACACATAGCAGTACAGTGTGTTAACAAGTACGCACACATACCAGTGCAGTGTGTTAACAAGTACGCACACATACCAGTGCAGTGTGCATACTGCATAGCACATCATGTGTCTATTGTGTTCTTTCTATCAAAGAGGATGTTAGCCTCACAACTTGTACTTGTACCAGTCTATCAGTCTACCAGTCTACATGGTTCACAGTTGACAAGTTTGTAGCATATCTCAGGAAGCTGCATAGAACTCTCCAGTGTGAGCGCATACACTGTGTGTATACCAGATAGACAAGCTTGATGTACACACCTTTTGACCATTTGCTTAGGATAAGTCCAGCCGAGAAGCATTGCGAATAAATATGGTAAAATGACTGACAGTGATCATCTCTTTCTTGAAAACCCAATCCCATGCCGGAAATTGAGGGTGTGAATTCAAGAGTCTAACTGTAGCAACAGAGGTGTGTTGTTGCAGTGGGGTAAGTGAAATCTGGCCTCTTGAATCAAGTAGAGCCACACTGCCTGCTTAGCCCAGTGTTGGTAGTGCAAGGGCTGCACAGCTCCCCTTTTCTGCCACCAGTGTAGGTTTCCACCACTGGCTGATACCATGTAATTTTCCTCTGTATTCTGGCGTGTGTGTGTGTGCGTGTGTGTGCGTGTATGTGCACAGGCTCTAAAGCAGCTTGCTCTGCAGTAGCTGAGTACTACTCCACTCCTGAAGCTCCTCTGACCTGTTCAGTGAGTTCTAGTTGTTGATTCCCTCTCACTTGCGCGTAGTCTTTGATGTGCAGCTTTGAATGTGTCTGTTTCACCTCGTCCGTTGGCTTATGTTGATCCAGATATGCCATCTTTTCTAACTATCCAGAGACATGCCATCTTTTCCAACTATCCAGAGCTTTCACCATAATGAAGATTGTTCCCTTTGTTTGTTTTCACACATTTTGTTGTTGTACATGTACTTGTGTGCACACAGGATGTTGTGCTGGCGTCAGGGTGTTCCGGTGCTCTGAGCATGGCTATCAATGTGCTCACAAACCCCGGCGATAACATTCTAATCCCGTGCCCGGGCTTCTCACTCTATCGCTGCCTTGCCAGTGCGCGGCAGGTTGAGGCACGCTCGTATCGACTCATTGTAAGCTGGCATTTCTCTGTGCTATATCTCTGTGCTATATCAATACTGCAGATGCTTCACTGGATGCCTACCAGTACTGTATCACATGTCATTTTAGGTATTGTCAAATTTCGATATCAGGGACTTGCCAGGTGTCAGGTGTAATGTAGAATTAGGTGACCACCATTCCCTGCACCTACAGTGCACACTCCAGTGCTATTTAAAAAGTAGGTGTAATCTAAATTTAGGTGCCTGGTTTGTCCACCGAAATTACCGAAATTTTAAAAGTTACACCGAAAATAATGTGTTATACCGAGAGTATATAACCACCCAGAGTGTGCAACCCCTGATCCAGCTCTGCACAAGGTCTTGGTCGAGCGTGGATCTTCTGGTGTCATGCGTACGCTCCGCACAAGCGCAAGGCTGGTCTTGAGGCAGGGCGAAGTTGTTTTTGATCAGACAGTCCCCGCGACTCCCCGGGTCCCTCTCAGATCTGTACGGTATTATGACGCAGAGATCCGATTACGCTCAACCGAAACCCTATGCAGAGCTGGATCAGGCGTTGCACACTCTGGGGGGGGGGGGGGGGGGGGGGGAGTTATGCACTCTTAGGCCGTGATCGTTTGGTCGGATCCACTGGATCTGCAGTGATCGATTGGTCGAATCCAGATCCAGATCCTTCGGATTTGGATCCGAGCAACCCTGCCGCTGGAGCAGGGTTGACTGGGTCCATTGGATCCGAATGTGACCTTTGTGCGTACATGGCGGGTAAAACTCATTTTTGTACTCATTGCCGTACGTCTAGTCAACCTTTGTTGACTTTTCGTACGACGCGCCCGATCAGTACGACTTTGGCCCTTTTGGGTGACCTGTCAGCGCCATTTTTTACTTCGTCAACATGGCAACAACCAAGGTCCAAAACAAAGTGATCGGTTGATTCTGAAGGATCCGATGGATCTGAGATTTGGATCTGGATCAAGATGCGACCAAACGACCATAGCCTTGGTTATGCAGTACTGGTATTATGATGTACAGTGAAAGCATGCTTTGTGTGTTGTCTTGCTGTCGATGGGGATGCCGGTTTTTGAACTGCTCTTCGGAAAGACTTCATTCTGCTCACACGCACGCACATACACACACACACACACACACACACACGCGCGCGCGCGCGCGCGCGCACACACGCACACACATACACACACACGCTGACTGTTCCCGTTTCCATCCCCTGTGTTGTGTTCACTAGCCGGAGAAGAGCTGGGAAATTGATCTTGACAACATGGAAAGCCTCATTGACGAGAACACGAAGGCTATTGTCGTCAACAACCCGTCCAATCCATGTGGTTCGGTGTATACACTGCAACATCTGAAGGACATTGCTGCAGGTATATGTGCTGGTACTTAGCAGTGGGTTTCTTGTTTCATTTTCTGTCGTTTTGTATTGGAGCAACGATGTTTCGGACAAATATTTACGATCCTGAAAAGCACTACTTCTCACACATCCAATATTAAAAGACAACTGTCGCCAATATTTACCGGGCACACTCATACCTCGGTTATCCAGACTCCGAAGTTATGGGCACTACGGTCTACCATGCACCCATTCGCGTTTAAGTGGAAATATGACTACTCTGTTGTCACTTTTTGTGGAAATAGTGACGTCATACGCCATATCTGCGGCCTTTCCCCATCAAAATGTATGTGATTCAAAGTTAGGGGCAGTGCCCGGTCCCGTACCGCCCGGATAAACGAGGTACAAGTGTACCTGTTTTTTGAGGAAACAGTCGCCGTGGTCATTTCACCGGGTTTGTGCTTTTTTTTAATAAATTCGGTGATCTGGTGTCAGCCGAAACTCCTCCCTTCCTGTCGCAAGGTCCTATACGGATAGGTGCAAACTGCATACAGAATAAAAAAAAGCAAAAAACAGTGCTTTGTTTGCTTGTGCAGCCCAGCATTGTTTGTTCTTGGCGCATGCAGTGCCCAGTGCTATTTTATTCGTAGTAGACAGTTTCCCCTGGCCAGCACTGTATTGCTCCTCGTCTTGTAGCTGGCAATGTTTGTGTTTACATGTAATGTGAGGCATGCCTGCCAACCATCCCGATTTGGCCGAGACCCTCCCGGTATCGAGCAAGGTAGTAGGCACCCAAAAGTGCATTTGTCGCATGCCTCGCGGCTACACTTGTATACATTTTCATAGCTAGGTGTGTCATTGTCCCGATCTCTGGTTTGCAACGGTTGGCGGCAGGTATGTGTTAGTGTTGTGTCTGCACAATCTTGCACCTCTGCTACACGCAATTATGTGCTTGGACTTTGAAACTGCTGCTCTGGCAGTGACTGGATGGTACCTTGTTCTTTGTATCTCTGCTTCACTAAACAGTTGCGTACAGGAGACGTGTGCCTATCATCTCTGATGAAGTTTACGCTGGCATGGTATGTGACCACTGGCTACTTTCCTATTTTCTCTCTCTCTATCCATCTCTCTCTCTCTCTCTCTCTCTCTCTCACTCACTCACTCACTCACTCACTCTCTCTCTCTCTCTCTCTCTCTCTCTCTCTCAGCCTCTCTCGGCCTCTCTGTGCCAACTTTTGCAGCGACCCGTTATATCGCCCAACGATGACATTTTGTCTATGTTGTAGCTGGTGCTCTTTGCTGTGTCATTGGAACATCAATCACGACTTTACTATTCATAGCATGGCCTGGGTGAAGACTAGGGCAACACAGGTGGTCCGATGCTGATGCAGAAAAGCAGAAATATTACATGTTTAAAAATGGTGTGCCCTCTTCATGTGTGTGTCGGGTGATGAAACACATGACAAAAAGTGTTGTGTTTGCGTGTGCTGCTTGTTGTTATCCAGGCTTTCCATGGTACTAAGTTTCATTCAATGGCCCAGGTTGCGCCCAACCAACCCATCCTCACCTGTGGTGGGCTAGCTAAGAAGTGAGTATGACTGAAGTATGGATGTTTTCTCCCTTCGTTTCTCTGCGCCGTTCTATCCTGTTTGACTGTAGAGTTTGACGGGTGATCACCACTTTTTGCTTTCTGTTATGCTCAGGTATATTTGCTTTCCTGGTGTTTGTGCGTGTGTGCGTGTGTGCATGTGTGTGTGTGTGTGTGTATATACACACGTGTGCATGTGTGTGTGTGTGTATACACACGTGTGCATGTGTGTGTGTGTGTGTGTGTGTGACACTGTGTGCATGCGCGCGTGTGTGTGTGTGTGTGTGTGCCTGTTTGTATGTGTGTCTGCTTGATGCATTATCACTATCCCTGCATGTGATGTTCTATGCTGTGTCATCTTGTTGTCATTGTTGCTCTCAGATACTTGGTTCCTGGATGGCGTCTTGGCTGGGTATTTGTCCACGACCAGCACCATGTTCTAGATCTGGTATGTAGTATTGTATGCTGCTGCTGCATGCATTTGATATGGTCACTTTCATGCTTTGATCTCTGCTTTGGATGGCATAGTGTGAGAGCATGTGCACTGCTTGCTGACTAGCACCTGCCTCTCTGTTTTTGATGGGTCCTGTTCTGTGCTGTAGGTGCGGGAAGGCCTGAGGAAACTCAGCACCCAGATTCTGGGCCCGTGCTCACTAATCCAGGCCGCACTTCCTGCTATCATCCGTGAAACACCACAAGAGTTCTTTGACAACACCATTCGTCACTGTGAGGTCAGTCAAACTGCCCCATCAGCTCTGTGCTTGCGTGTTCGTGGGTGCATCTCTTACCATTAATAATAGACACTTGAATTCATGCCTCGCACTGACATGTGCTGATTTGTGCCGATTTGTGCTGCTGCTGCTGCTGTGTGCTGTCCAGGAGGCTGCGGGGATTGCATTCGGTCTTCTCTCTGAAGTTCCCTCTCTCACGCCCGTCATGCCCAGTGGAGCTATGTATATGATGGTAAGTTTGATTAGGTGATCTCACCATGAGTCCATTAGTTTGTGATTGGAAAAATGTGACTGGCTCTGCGTAATGCATCATTCTGTTCTATGGTTGCCCACTTACACTTTCAACCCTTTCTATACAGCATACAGTCACTTTCAACCCTTTCTATACGGCATACAGGCAACTTTGCGAATAATGACCCTCGATTAGGGATGAGAAAAGCGTTGTTATTTGCAAGTTGTCTGTCGTTGTGCTCAAGGCTGAAAGCATGTAGTGACTAGTCGAATGATCTGTAGGTCTGCACATTGTGTTGTTACCGTATGTCCGCACCGTTAAAGCCATGGAAGTATATTCAATTATAAAGCTAGTCTCAGTTATAAAGCCATGTGCTTCATAAATGAAATGACATTTGAAGTATGTTTCGTAAAAATAAATGAAGGAGGAAGTACTATACTAACAAACTTCCAGCCCAGCAGGAAGGGTGAACAAGTGGATTTAGATTGAAATTTCTGTGTAGGCTTTGACTTTTATGGCATGGCGTAGTGGGTGGGTCATTTTGCATCTAAAATAGCTAGGAAAGCAGGGGTGTTTCGAATATAAGGCCATGGCTTTAAAGGCGCTGACATACGGTATTCACAGCATATTGCTAGCAGCTACACCCAAGCTTGTTGTTCACTAGGTTGATTTGTATCTGTTGTAGAGACCGTATCCACTACTAACTTGTTCCTCAAGTGCATGCATGTGTAATACTGTGTATGTGCGTGCGCGTACTTTAATGGGTGTTTCTCATGCACCATTTTCTCCTCGCCGTTTCTTGTAATGTCGGTGTGCTCGTGTTCCTTTCTGTTCCTGGTGTCAGATTGGAATCAAGACCGACATGTTGGTTGATATTGACAATGACATACAGTTCACAGAGAAGCTGATGGCGGAGGAGTCTGTCTTTTGTCTGCCTGCTCAGGTAATGTCCTAAACTGGGCAATAGCTCATTGATTGATAGCTGACAAAGCATTTCATTGTGTTACGCGTATAAATGTCATGCATGGTTTGGTTAGTGCCATCGAGCTGTGCTCAGGCTAAGCATCAGGTTGTTGTGAATGTCTTCTCAGTTCTCTCCGTGTTAAAACCTAAAACGAATTCTGGTGGAGTGTGTGCACTTTGTCACTTGCCATCTTGGACACATTGTACATATCCTGCGAGAGCAAGCACCCAGCAGGGCTTCGCACATATCATCACTGCCAAATGTAGTCGTCCAGTTTTGCCAATCCAGGGATGTACCAGAGCTGCTCACTTGGGAGGGGGTACTCTTGGTCATGCTGTTGCTGCCATTGCAATTGTTTATACCATTTGCATTTGCATTGGTCTTTGAATTTGTGTCTCGTTACAGTGCTTCCAGTACCCTGACTTCTTCCGCATTGTCCTCTGTGTCCCTATGCCGATGATGAGTGTGGCGTGCAGTCGCATTAGTGAGTTCTGTCATCGTCACCAGCGACAAACAATCACCAATGGCACTCACTGAAGTAGAACGTCATCCTTGCATCCTCCCTCTTGCCGTCTTGGCTGGGTCAGTGAAGACTAAGTCTTACTGGTAGGATGCCAGCACAGTCATGAGTCATGTTTCTATGTCAGGCTGCTGGCCATGCTTGCAGCTTGTCTGGGCTTGAGGGCTTGTGGGCGTGCATGCTGTGTCTATGGGGCAGCAGTGGAGTGGATTGATTACCTTGCAAATTGCGTAGTGTTGTGATGATGCATTTACTACTGTATACTGTATTGTTGACTAACAGCAGCTATGCTTGGGTGGGATGCTCCTTGCTGCATGTATCAATGTGTTACAGACTAACAGCAGCTATGCTTGGGTGCCTTTATGTCTCGGTATATTCCACTTGGTTAACTCTGTACCTTTTAGGTATGCGTGCTGTGCTCTTGGCCATCACAACTGCTGGTCTAGTTCTTATAGTACTATCGCCAAAATCTATTGAGCGCGATGCGATGTTGACACCGCCTAGCCTAGAGAACACCATGCCTATTTCAGTAGCTGTCTTGCTCTTAGCAGTCTTCTGTCCCTTCTGGCCTACTGCATGTTCATCCTGTTGCTGCTAGTACTTCAGCTCATTTCCTTGAGAAATTATTAGGTGTTTGATTGCCTGTTCTATTGGCCATGTCTTGTCCACCTGTTGCTGGAACAACAGTAGAGCGTGAGTGTGTTTGTGTGCGTGTGTGAGTGTGTGCTTATATTTTAACAACGATCTGATATTTTCTTGTAGAATTCTTGCTGAATTAGATTGGACGCTTTCGGCTTTCTTTTTGAAGATTATTATTCTATTTCTGTAGACAGCCTTGTATCTCTATTAAAACTACATGTGCCCACCCTAAGGAAGGTGCATACAACCAGTAACTGAAATTCACATTCCCTGTTTGGTTTGTGTGGCTCGTGTGTGGGGCAACCTTAGCAGTTGTAGCTCACTGCACCTGGAGTCCCATAACCAACACAACGCTTAGGCTGGGTTCTGAGTTATCCACACTCGTACTGTATTGATAGCGACAGGAGTATGATGACGATGGTTTGGCGAAACAGGTCAAAATGATATGATTGACATGAGCGGCGATTTCACCGCTTTCCTCACCTGTACTTTGGCCAAGCTGGATTGGGAGCTGCCGTTCCTTGATGTTGCATATTCGTGCGCGTACAACAATTACATCACATCGTTCGCTGATTGGCTGTCTGCAATCTGCATGGTTACACGCTCACGTGACATAGGAGGCCGCTAGCGCTGCAAAAATAATTATAGTACAAAAATTATGATCCCCCCCCCCCCCCCCCCCCCCGCTGCGGGGCCCGGCCGGCCCCGGTGCCCCCCCCCCCCCAATCGCGCGCAGGGACAGGTCGACCCTGTAAGAGTTCATAACCCCCATGAACTCTTGCTACAATGTACTGTATAAGCAGAAATATTCGTCTGGAATTTAATTTCGTCTTTTTCGTCCGAGGAGGTTTTGGACTAAATTAAATGCCGGACGAATGTCGATTTGTCCAGCTTTTCAATACACTCTTATGATCCATGGACGAAATTTACAGCCAGACGAACTCCCTTTCTTTGGAGTTGGACGAAATAATATTGACCGACGAAATTTTCTGCCTGTACAGTAGTACTTTTTTGTAGTGTTGGCTCAGCTTGGCTGGTATATCTACATGGTGCGCGTTGCGTCATGCATCGAAATCACAAAGCTTGCATCTGTGAAATCATTGTTTTCAAAATTCGTCAATGGTTTGTCTTTCTCATCTGTATCACCAGTGTATGCCAGACAATCGTAATAGTGTTTTCTTGTTCGCGGCGTATCTTTCTGAACATATCGGGAGTGGGAAATAAGCAGATTAGGAATATATTGATGTACCAATGGCGCACGCTTGCAGGCGCCTACTGACCACGGCGTACCATCGCTCGTGCCCTAATTACATAAACAAATGTCTTTGGCCAAGACCACTGTGCTCTGCTTCCACGTCCGTTGACGCCACAGCCTCAAAGACCCGTGAGACATGTACCAGTGGCCAAGCATCCGCGTCAACCCTCATATCGGGGAAGGATTTGCTGGTTGATCTCAGAGAACGTGGTCTTTCGGTCAGCGAATCAAAGTAAAAACAAAAGATTTGTGTGTGTGTGTGTGTGTGTGTGTGTGTGTGTGTGTGTGTGTGTGTGTATGTGTGTGTGTGGTGTGTGTGTATGTGTGGTGCGGTGTGTGTTTGTGCGCGCGTGCATGTGCGTCTGTATGAATCTACTATTAACTTTTGTATTCAACGGCACTAGTGAAACTTTTATCCACTAGGGTGCAGCAGCCTGTACTACTATCACGTGTTGCCGTCATTGGGGACCGCAGGCTCGTAGGAACTGATCCGGAGGGGCAGGTCATCACCGAACCAACTTGTTGGCCACCAACACACGTGTACCCACTGTATCATACACAAACTGTATGAAAGGCTGCGGTATGGCGGTATGGCGGTATGGCCGGACTAATCAAAACTGGTCCCGGTGGTCAAGGGACGTGTAAATGCCGTCGGATTCCGGGACGGGTAAATGCAGTGGCATCCCGGGACGGGTAAATGCAGTGGGATCCCGGGACGGGTAAATGCAGTCGGATCCCGGGACGGATAAATGCCGTTGGATCCCGAGGCGGGTAAATGCAGTGGGATCCCGGGACGGATACCCTGATCTACCGTTAATCCTGTTTCTGCACCTTTTCCTCATCCCCTGTCCCGAGGACACTCCCATCATCAGTTTCTGGTAACAAGTACAAGTGCCCATGTGCGTGTGCATGTGTGTGCCGGGGGGGGGGGGGTAGGCAGATTTATGTGTTTGTATGGGGAGGCTTAGGCAGAAGCGTGCGCGTGTGTGTGTGCACGAGTGTGTGTGGTTTATGTAGGGGGGGGGGGGGGGGGGTAGGCAGATGTGTGTATGTGTGATTGTATTAGGGTGGGGCTACAGTTTGGTATATGGTAATGAAGGTGGCAGCATACTTAGTACACCACTCTTTTTCATTAGTACAGCACTGTCTGGTGCAGAAGAACAGGGAATCCAAACTTACAGCCGACGGCTTTCTTCTTTTTCATGTCCAACGGTCTAATAATTATAGTTGAGCCACCATGTACATGTAGGTATCCTGCAAGCTGGTACAATTCTAGCCTGATCTAAGGTTTTGTTCTTCGGCACCCCGACAGTGCTCTACATGGATACACACCCATACTGGGCAATAGCTTCAGGATTTGTTGTAAAACACTATATGTAGTCTGTAGACCAGCCAATGCTCTCAACACTAACTGTTGACGATTTATGGGAAGCAGCGAGTTTGCGGAACGTTATGGTCACACATATACAGTACCACCAAGAGTACATAACCAAGAGTGTGCAACTCGACGATCCCCCAGCCCACGGCGGAATTTTTTTATGACATCAGTTTTTGGCGGCGGTTTGGCTCACTGATGCCATCATGCGTAGCCAGAGATCAAAGTACAAATGATTTGTACATTACAGCTACGGTAGTCGAAGCAGAACAACGGACGATAGATCGATGTGTCTTGAACCTGACGAACTCTCACCGTATCTACAAATCAAGCGCGGGAAAGCATACCCACTTCGTCATGCTTCTGCCGAAGAATGACGCAATAAAAAAATTCCGCCGTGGATGAACCCATCGCAGCTCAAGATAGGAGTTGCACACTCTTGGTTATGTACTCTTGGTAACACCCACAGTTCAAGTTGTATTTCATGCTGGTTAATATTCGCATTTACTCCTCTCGTGAAAGTAACATCGCAGACTTTAGGCAGTTCACAGTATATTTATGATGTATTGTGCACACCTTGGACTTGCAACCTTTGCAAAGTTGCTATTGTAGTCTAATATGATAATCATATGGAACATGTAACAACTGTCAGATAGGGATAGATCACGATGAAACTCTAGATCTTCTAAATGGTTATATCATGTATTGTTAAATCATGTATCGTGAAACATTTCTGTACTGGTTTAGTTGTGATATACGCTGTTGGTTTGTTGATGTTTCTGCTGCTGCTGCTCCCGCCGCCGCCGCTGCTGCTGCCGCCGCCGCCGCTGCTGCTCCCGCTGCTGCTGCTATGTGTAGTGAGATGCAGGATCTGTTTGTCAGCGGGCAGCCAATCACGGTGTACGGTGGTTTTGATCCAACCGGTGACAGTTTGCACGTCGGTCACTTGCCGTTGCTACTGTCCCTGCTACGATTCCACGAGGCTGGTCACAACATCATTGCGCTGGTCAGTTTAGTGTGTGTGTGTGTGTGTGTGTGTGTGTGTGTGTGTGTGTGTGTGTGTGTGTGTGTGTGTGTGTGTGTGTGTGTGTGTGTGTGTGTGTGAATCCCTATTTCCGGCCAGAAAAAGTCACTTCAAACAGCTGTGTGGTGGATACCAGGCTAAAAATAGTGGCGGTCAATTCATCAGCCTTGCAAGCTGTTGAATGGTGTAATCCCAGCACAAGTTGCTATGTCTAACATAGCTGTTCGCTATCATCGCTCCCGCGATGGGCATGTCTGAGGTCTGAGGTGTGTGTGTGTGTGTGTGTGTGTGTGTGTGTGTGTGTGTGTGTGTGTGTGTGTGTGTGTGTGTGCGTATGTGTGTGTGTGTGTGTGTGTGTGTGTGTGTGTGTGTGTGTGTGTGTTGTGTATGTATATGTGTGTGTGTATATGTGTGTGTATGTGTGTGTATATGTGTGTGTGTATGTGTGTGTGTATGTGTGTGTGTGTGTGTGTGTTGTGTTGTGTATGTATATGTGTGTGTGTATATGTGTGTGTATATGTGTGTGTGTATGTGTGTGTGTATGTGTGTGTGTGTGTGTGTGTATGTGTGTGTGTGTGTGTGTGTGTGTGCATGCATGTGTGTATGTGTGTCTGTGTCTGTGTGTGTGTCTGTGTGTATATGTGTGTGTGTGCGTGTGTATGTGTGTGTGCGTGTGTGTATGCGTGTGTGTCTGTGTGTGTCTGTGTGTGTGTGTGTGTGTGCGACTGTGTGTGCGACTGTGTGTTTGTGTGTGTGTGTGTGACTGTGTGTGCGTGTGTGTGTGTGTGTGTGTATGTGTGTGTGTGTGTGTGTACCGGTGTTTGCAACTTGTCTGTTTCTGTCTTTTAGTCTATACATTCGTTTGTTGAATCTGCATTCAGATGTCAGCCAGAAAAGAGACATCTGCTGGAATAGATTACAGGGTAGGGCCGCACTGTGGGCCATAATGGTGGTACACTCTGCAGCCATAGAAGCACTGTGATCATACGGGTGGTACACTCCGCAGCCAAAGAAGCTCTGCTGTGGTGCAGTTCCACCACAAGCTGCCAATCCAGAATCACTGTCATCATCACTGTCATCATCTTGCACTTGATGTACTTACTTGTAGTATCTGAACAAGGAGGACTAGCTGAAATGACATTGACTTACTTTATTAAACAATGTCAAGCGAGGGAAACGATACGAAAACAATACAAAAGGAAAGAGAAACACATGTAGGAAGGAAGAACGATGGGAAAAAAATGATTCGAACTAGTTTTCGTACACTACTCATCAGGAATCACCGGTGCACTAAAGAACAAATCAGACCAAATGAAATAATAATAGCAAGCAAGGTATTAAAGGTATTAAAAAAAAAAGTAAATTATCGTGTCCGTTCCCGAAGGGAACTCACGACGGCCGCTAACACCCGATAAATCCTAGCGGCAGATGCAGCGCCTAACGGTGGGGGTGAGTGGATAAGTCTCACAACCACTGGCACAAGTGCCGAAAACGACCCCATTAGCTGCATCCATGTACCCCTTGTGCCTGGCCACAAGTTCCCAGTTGACTGTGGGTAGCAGCACGGCTGGAAAAACCGCTCCCAGGCAGGACTTGAACCAGGTACCTCTCGTAAGGTATTAAATAGGGCTGAAACGATCATCCATTTAGCCCAATCGATTACTCTTTATCATAACGATCGATTATTCGATTATAATCTTTAAGAGGCCGCACCTGGAATATGTACGTGGAATGGCCAAAAGTGGAAATATGTACAAAATTTTGCACAAAAATGCTATGTGGCATGATTGTCTACTAATGGGCAGCGTTACAGACAACAACTAGCCAACAATGGCTGAGAGTGATGCGGAATGTTTTATAACACTGCCAAGACATGTAGTTAATAACATAACGTGGAATGGATACATTGGATAGCCAGTATGAAAATTTGATGTCACATAAATATAAGTTTCCGTGCATGTCACGGTAAGTGGAGTTAGCAACACACCAACATCCTTGCCATAAGCAACACTTGTACATGCATAACATGCATGCACTCCGAATTCCCGCGTTTCCGCACGGGACTGTGCGGAGCATGCGCATTACTCCAATTCGCCATGCTGTTGTTTCTTGCTCTTCGCTTTGCTGTGCTGACGGTCAAATTGTTTGACTATCGCGGCCAGTTTCTGATCACCACCACCCACCCCATCATCTCTCACTAGCATTCCATTCGAAACCATCCCATCCCGAAAGGGAGAACAGTAAGGATCGTGAGTCAGGCCGGCATTGAGCCAAGTGCGCCTATATTCGCTCACAAGTGCATCCTTTAAGCCATCCCGTAAGGGAGAACAGTAGGGATCGTGGGTCAGGCCGGCATTGAGCCAAGTGCGCCTACATTCGCCCACAAGTGCATCCCTACTGCATGCTCGTGTATTGACACATCTGAATTCAACAGTAGGGATCGTGGGTCAGGCCGGCATTGAGCCAAGTGCGCCTACATTCGCCCACAAGTGCATCCCTACTGCATGCTCGTGTATTGACACGTCTGAATTCTCGCCGGGCAATTGTTGCCCCAGTTAGTGTCGGCATTGGCCATACTAACGCACAGCGGCGCTTGCAATACTAGCTCTGGCATTGGACCAGAATATTGCATATTGTATGCGGCAATTGTTGCCTATCTCCTGGTAATACAACGCGTAATAGCTCCCAAACAGGTCGGCTTGTGTGGTTGGTAACAACAAATACTTCTTCCTAAGTTCTTACAAGTATTACCTAACGTTTGTGCACACTGAGTACACATGATTCAAGCAAGGCGAGCACCATTACGGCTGGGCACTGGTACAAATTGTACTCCAAAGCAGGGAGTAGTACTACTCCCTGCTCCAAAGGCAGACTGGGAAGCGGGAGCTAGGCATCATCATATTATACTCTGCGCTGCATGCACTGCGCGTATAAGAAATAAAAAATTTAAAAAACGCAAAATAATCGTAATCGGTAATCTAAACGGTTGCTCTATCGTTAGAGTTATCAAACGAGTACTCGATTATTCGGTATAATCGTTTCAGCCCTAGTATTAAAGGAGGACACAATGACAGCGCTATTATGAACTTTATTTTTTATTTTTTTTATCTTGTGTGTATGTCCAGGTTGGTGGTGCCACAGCCATCGTTGGGGACCCGAGTGATCAAGTTGCCGACCGCAGCCCCATGGAAAGGGAGGTAATAGTTAGCAACACCGAGTCTCTCATGGCATGGCTGGAGCAGTTTTTCGAGAAGAACCGGCAGAACCAGGCGGAAATGAGGTAATTATGATTGTGTGTGCTTTGTAAACTTGGACCGCTGTTGCATGCAGTGCAACCGGTCCAACAGCTGCCAGACCAAAATTGTCAAATGCTTTTTGTTGGATAAAAGGAAGGACAAAATGTTGCGAGTTCTGACTAACTGTCCACTAATATGTTGTGTTTCTTTTCTTCTGCGGATGGATGGGTGCACACAAAAGTCTTGTCCGCTGACCGATGTGAGGTTGAGTTACCATAATTCAGCATTTGCCATACGCGAGCACCGCCGCAGACAGGCACAGCTAGAGTACAGAGTGCATGATCTTGCTTGCTCGATGCACAGCTAGAGTACAGAGTGTATGATCTTGCTTGCTCGATCTTCCGACAGCTAGCTGTTTCCACCTTGTCAGGTCTCGTCAGCAAAGCTCAAAGTTACTGGTTGAACCGATCGCAATGAAGAAGTCCATTGAACGGCAAAGAATGTTTTAAACCGGCCCAAAGTATCAAAGCATTCAAAGTCAGACTCCTCTACTGTGAGAAAGAAAGCATTCAAAGTCAGAGTCCTCTACTGTGAGAAAGAAAGCATTCAAAGTCAGAGTCCTCTACTGTGAGAAAGAAAGCATTCAAAGTCAGAGTCCTCTACTGTGAGAAAGAAAGCATTCAAAGTCAGAGTCCTCTACTGTGAGAAAGAAAGCATTCAAAGTCAGACTCCTCTACTGTGAGAAAGAAAGCATTCAAAGTCAGACTCCTCTACTGTGAGAAAGAAAGCATTCAAAGTCAGACTCCTCTACTGTGAGAAAGAAAGCATTCAAAGTCAGACTCCTCTACTGTGAGAAAGAAAGCATTCAAAGTCAGAGTCCTCTTTTGTGAGAAAGAAAGCGAACTTTGCACGAGGGCAGGTACCTGTGACATCAACCAGAAAGAGTACTCTACCCATCTTGATCTTGCTTGCTCCGGTCATCGACTCCTGACGTTGGTATGCGTAGGTAGGTAAACTTGCAAGGGACTTCGCTCACCTCAACATTTTGGAAGTTCTGTGGCAGAGCTACCAGTACTTATATCTGTATCCACAATGCCCCTTATCTCGTTTTCAAGCTCAGCAACGACATGACAGTGGTCATGACGGACCCTGATTGTCCAGAGTAGTTCTGACATGGACAGTTGTTTAGTTTTCCCCGGAGATCACAAGAGAACATTAAAGGGGAAGTTAAGGCAAACATTAAAATTTCACCAGTTGTAGTCTTCGGGGTGCTGAGTCGAATGGTCTTGGTCCGAGAAAGCTGAGACGCTCCCTTCCTACTTGAATCCCAATCGAACTCGCGCACTTCCACCAAAACTGGGTGACTGCGCCCTACTAGATGGGGATTTGTATGCAAAATGTCACTAAAAGCGCCATTTCGTTCTTATAAAAGCACGGATGACCGCGATTGGCCCATATGTTGTACTATTTTGGATGCTGAGTCGACTGGTTTTGGTCCGAAAAGGCTGCAATGCAGCGTTCCTCCTTTATTCCCAATCGAACATGGTTGAACAAGCGGTCACGTGCTCCTGGGTGCCCAAATCACCTGGTCACCACGCCAGCAGGCGACAACTTTCACACCAAGGTTCAACTCGAGTTCAACTCGAGTGACAGGACTGCACCCAAAAAAGGTCAAACAGGCTAGTAAGTTGTACCCTGCAGGCGCGGTGACCAGGTGACTGGTGTACGCAGGAGCACGTGGCCGCTTGTTCTATCATGTTCGATTGGAAATAAAGGAGGAACGCTGCATCGCAGCCTTTTCGGACCAAAACCAATCGACTCAGCGTCCAAAAGACTACAACATATGGGCCAATCGCGGTCATCCATACTTTTATAAGAGCGAAATGGCGCTTTTAGTGACATTTTGCATACAATCCCCATCTAGTAGGGCGCAGTCACCCAGTTTCGGTGGAAGTGCGCGAGTTCGATTGGGATTCAAGTAGGAAGGGAGCGTCTCAGCTTCCTCGGACCACGACCATTCGACTCAGCACCCCGAAGACTACAACTGGTGAAATTTTAATTTTTGCCTTAACTTCCCCTTTAACAAATAACAAACTGAAATCTGGGATCAAAGGTGTCCAAACTCAGAACGGGGACGGAAGAGTGTGAAGCCTTTCGACTAGCTGCACTGCAATGCTGAGAAAGGTGTAGGCATGTGTGTGTGTGTGGGGAGAGGAGAGAGATCATTGCGTGTGTGGGGGAGGGGGGGGGGGGAGCATTGTGTGTGTGGGGGGGAGGGGGGCATTGTGTGTGTGGGGGGGGGGGGGAGCATTGTGTGTGTGTGGGGGGGGGGGGGGGAGAACATTGTGTGTGTGTGTGTTTGGGGTGGGGAGAGAACATTGTGTGTGTGTGGGGGGGGGGGGGGGGGGCATTGTGTGTGTGGGGAAGGGGGGGGGGGGACATTGTGTGTGTGGTTATATGACATTGTGCTTGTCGCGTCATCGCCCACGTATTTCACCTTGCTACTTCCCACCATGATCTCTTGCTGCTGGGTTTCATGCGTGCTGCGCTGAAAGTGACCACCTATTGCAGTATCGCACCCATGATCAATCACCTCTTTCCTGCCATGCATATCCCCATTAATGCAACCCTTTCGACACGCACTGTGCTAAGACTTTAATTGCAATTTCCTTCCCACCCCCCCCCCAGTATATTTGTAAGCACCCTCCTTATTCTTGTCAGTGCTGTCGTTCTGATTGGTACAATGCCATGGAGTTAGGAGTCACAACCATTCTTTGGTTTACCACCAACGCGAGCTTGTGGTGTTATGTTGCATAGCTGTCTTGCGTGTCTTGCCTGTCTGCTGAGAAATACAGTGCAACATGCTGAGCCTGGTCTGCTCAGTGTGCTTGTAATGTTACGTAGTATTGTGAGTGTGCCACTAGTTGGCAGAGTGTGCCACTCCCACCTTGTGTCACTGCTCACGCACTGGCTAGAGTGTGTTGTTGCTGTTGCTGTTATTCCTGCTGTTCCTGCTGTGGTTCCTGCTGCTGCTGCTGCTGCTGCTGCTGTTGCTGTTGTTGTTCCTGCTGCTGTTGCTGTAGTTCCTGCTGCTGCTGTTGTTCCTGCTGCTTTTGTTGTTCCCGCCGCCGCTGCTGCTGCTGCTGCTGTTGTTGTTGCTGGTGCTGTTTGGTGTGTACATCATTTCATACGCTGCACATATGTTTCTCTACCCTTTGTTAGAGTTGTGAATAACCTCGACTGGTACAAGGATATGCCAGTGCTGGAGTTCTTCAGCAAGTATGCGTCCGACGTCCGTGTCTCCACACTACTTGGCAGAGAATTGTGAGTATGGGTACTTGTACAATGTATTGCTGTGCAGTAGGGCAGGGGACAGGAGAGAGAGAGAGAGAGAGAGAGAGAGAGAGAGAGAGAGAGAGAGAGAGAGAGAGAGAGAGAAAGAGAGTTGTTGACATTGATTTATTGTTAGCATACCGGCTATATTTTTGTTCATAACTACAGGAGTATTCGGCGGTGCTGAAGAGTGGGCTGGCAAAGACCTAGGCTAGAGGCTAGAAAGTAGTCAAAATTTAAGAGCATGCTGGAAGCAGAGATTTCAATACACCGGTGTGGGTTGTAACTTGTCATGTAACACTGCATGTACAGTGTGCACCTATACGATGTGTGAATGTACAAGCACAGAACACATTACGTTCTATGAAACCTCCCTGTCCAACACTCCAAATACGACTCGTACGGTCTCTATGCTCCACCAAATTTTCGGGCCTGGCCCATCATTAAGGTAAAAGCAAGAGTACATAACCAAGAGTGTGCAACTCCTATCTCGAGCTGTGATGGGTTCACCCACAGCGGAATTTTTTTATTGCGTCATTCTTTGGCTGAAGTATGATGAAGTGGGTATCCTTTCCCGCGCTTGTTTTGTAGATACGGTGAGAGTTCGTCAGGTTCAAGACACATCGATCTATCGTCCGTTGTTCTGCTTCGACTACCGTAGCTGTAATGTACAAATTATTTGTACTTTGATCTCTGGCTACGCATGATGGCATCAGTGAGCCAAACTGCCGCCAAAGACTGATGTCATAATAAAATTCCGCCGTGGGCTGGGGGATCGTCGAGTTGCACACTCTTGGTTATGTACTCTTGGTAAAAGTAAATACTAGAATCTCTGGTTAATGAAGTGGTCAAATGCTGCTGTGAATCTCTGGTTAATGAAGTGGTCAGATGCTGCTGCTCCTATTTTCACTTTCATGGCATCACTCTCCTCACTCTCCTCACTCTCCTCACTGTCCGACTTATTTACCTACTTTCCACTGCAGTGTACAGACTCGATTGCAAGGTGGCGGACTCAACATGAAAGAGTTTTCTTATCAGATGTTCCAAGGCACCGACTTTTTGCAATTGCACAAGCTGTATGGCTGCAACCTACAGGTAAGCGTTGTTCATTTCTCATTTCTCCTGCCACCGCCGCTGGTGCTGCTGCCGCTGGTGCTGCTGCTGCTGCTGCTGCTATGTTTCTGACTGTGTTTGCGTTGACTGTGGAGTTGCCGACTTGTTTTTCTTGTATTAAAAAAGCCCCTCGCTGTGACCGTTTTGGTGGTTTTCTTGTCATTGTCGCAGATTGGTGGTAGTGACCAATGGCCGAATATTCTCAGTGGTGTTGACATAATCAAAAAGCAATGCAGTGCCACTGTACATGGTAAGAAGGAAGTATGGAACACAGTCATGTATATATCCACTGTTCATACATGTAGTAAGAACAGAGCCCAGGGCACATGTAGATACAGATGTAGTTTGCAAGCAGACATGCTAGTTTACAGACAACATTGTGATGCGTAAACTGCAATACGTGTATTTGATTGAGTTAGAACCTGTTTGAAGACTCCGTTGGAGCATCATATAATACCGTAAAAGCCCCTGTATACGCCCGCTCGAAATTACGCCCACCCTCCATGTACACGCCCAGTCAGGGGAAGTCAACACTTTTGTTTCAAAATAGCGCCCATACCCATGTACTGTAAACCGGGAAACTTTTGCGGCGTGCAACTTTAGCGTTTTGAAAAAACGCCCCAGTTAGCGACGGGAAATTTTAGCGATTTGATCTGTTCAGGTGGTACTAGTACATGTACTTCCGTTCCAATTCTTCAGTTTGCGGCGATTCAAATTCGCGTTTTGGCGGTGATCGCGAAACTCGCGAAAATTATCCGCTCGCGAAAGTTTCCCGGTTTACAGTATACGCCCAGCCATGCCAGCAACACCAGTACATGTACAGGTACAGATACCCAATACTAACTGCTATCCCTATTCCAAGTATACGCCCGGTTCCAAAATTACGCCTGTGCCCTTGTATACTCCCAGGAAATCGAGGCTGCTATTCTATACGCCCGGGGCCTATACACGGGCTTTACGGTAATGTAGAGTAGAGAATGGTGGTAAACACACACGCACACACACACACACACATACACGCGTGCGCGTGCATGCGCGCGTGCACACACGCACCTTGAACCTCGAACATGCTCATTGCCGACAGCAATGATAGCGAAGGGACTATCTGCTAGCTTTTGCAGTGCTGCGCGTGGCACTTGAGATCCCCGGGACGACGGCAGACCCTTCCGCATGCGCAGCGGACAAGCCAAGATCAGGATCCGGGGGGAGCACGGGTGGGACACCCGGCAGCAAACACCACAGGGCTGGACGAGGGATCGAGTCGTATACCTTTCTCAGGTCGACAAAGAGAGCATACAACGGAGAGTCATGTTCGTAAGACTTCTCGATAAACTGCCTGGCAACAAAGATCATGTCTGCGCACCCTCTGCTCTTGCGAAAACCGGACTATGGCCCGGGGAGCACATTCTCCGAGGTGGTCTGCAACCGGTTCTGGAGAATTCGCGCAAACAACTTGCCAACCACATCCAATAGGCTGATACCCCTTCGAATGTCGCAAACTCTCAAGTTGCCTTTCTTGGGTATTGGAACAAAGATGGCATCCCGCCATTCAGCCACAACCGATGCCTCATCCCACACCAGATGCACGAGCGGAATCAGACGATCATGAAGCTCCTCACCACCCGAGATGATCATTTCCGGAAGAATGCTAGATTCCCTACCGGACTTTCCAACCCTCATGGAGCGCATCACCACAAGCATCTCTGCCTTAGTTGGGGGATCATCCAGCTCGGTTCACAGTGGCTCATCCGGAATCGTTGTCATGACAGCTGGGTTGTACTGACTCTCGACATTCAAGACATCGCCGAAGTGTCTGAATAGCCGATCCTGGATATCAGCGGAGTCTGTCAGGAGCGCACTATCTTCATGTGCTGCTGATGTTTCATGTGTGGGTTGTCGATCGGCGTGGCAGGTCTGCAACTTCCGGATGCAGCGCTACTAAGATCCACTGCCAATTTTACACCTTTCCGCCTTGTGCGATACCGACTCAATCCACCTTGCCTTGGCCTCTCGAACAGCCCGTGCCACAGCTCGCTACACACACAAACGCGCATGCACGCGCGCGCACGCACACAGACAGCTGGCGAAATGGTAGTAAGCACACACACGCGCACACAGCTGGCGAAATGGCAGTTAACGCACACACCATACACTCAAACTGATGATGGTGGTGACCGATGGAGTGCTCTTTCCAGAACTTTGCAGCTTAGAGAGCGTTGTGTAGGCAGGCTTGTGTTTACTGCCATTTTGTCAGGTTTGTTTGCGCCACCATTATTTATTCTAGTTTACTGGAGAACTGCTAATTTTAGCGGGTAATTTTTTAGCGTTTTCTGAATCTAGACCAATTCGCGATGAAATGGTTTAGCGCTATGGGTTTGGGAGTTACAAAAAACTTGAAAAACGATGACCACACAGTACTGTACATGCAGAATTTTGATTGGCGCGGCAAAACTTTAGCGAAACACTCCTACGAGAAATACACGCTTCCTGCCGAACTTGACACTTGACTGACTCACGACTGCCATCCAGAGCACACGAGGAGCACGTCACACCTCCCACTCGGCAAACCTGCAAGAAAGCACCACTCCCTGCTCAATACACAGTGTTTCGGGGAATTCACCCCTCATATCAGTTGAGCTTGAGTTTAGCACAACTCCATGAGCGACTCTGACTCACGCTGCTACATGGGGCTTCACAAGGTATTTGTTGCGCTGGAAACGAAGCGTCTCTGTAAGTTTGTATCCCTGGTGATGGTTTGGCCTGGAGAGCACTATAAGTGGTGCTTTTCAGGCACAATCTTCCTCAGCCTACTCAAGCTCAACTGATGAGGGGTGAATTCCCCGAAACACTGTGTATTGAGCAGGGAGTGGTGCTTTCTTCCAGGTTTGCGAGTGGAAGGTGCGACGTGCTCCTCATGTGCTCCTGATGGTAGTCGTGAGTCAGTCAAGTGTCAAGTTTGGCAGGAAGCGTGTGTTCCTCGTTGGAACGTCTAACTTCATCACTAGTACCGCCGAAGTCGCAACTTCAAAGTTCGAAAACACTCCTTTCGCTGAAATCGCTAAAATATCACTAAAATTAGCCGTTTTTCAGTATAGCCTGTTTGGCTAAGTAAGGTTTGCTACTGTGCCTGGTGATTCGCCTAGTTATAACTGTCTTTTTCAATACATGTATGCAGTCCGCAGAGGAATATTCTCTTGCACACGTTCCCTATTGTGATCTTGTATGGCAAAGAAGTGGATGCAGGCGAACGGCCGGGTCTGGGATTCTCCCTAATGAGAACATTGCACTTGAGTGACAAGGAATGTGAATACATGTATGTATTGTTAGGTACTAGCCAGGGTTCACCCTGGCCAGTGCATTCTGTGTATGTTACCGTATGTATGTACTCGTGTGTGTATGTGTGTGTGTGTGTATGTGTGTGTGTGTGCGTGCGTGCGTGCGCGCGCGTGTGTGTATGTATGCGTGCGTGCGCGTGCGGGCGTGTGTGTCCCATATGGTGCAGTGGTATGTGCAGCGATTTCCAATCGAGAGGTTGCGGGTTCGATTCCCCACGATTATGGTCACACACGTCTTTCTTCTCTTTCTCAGACTCCTGACTTTTCTTTCATTCTCCTAGCTGGGTGGTTACCAACAGCCAGTGCATGCCGTAGTATGTGGTGTGGTGTGTGTGCGGGAAAAAAATATGAAAAAGACCAAAAAGACCAAAAAGTAGGGATTCACTGGCCAGAAAAAGCCACTTCGTAGCTGTGTGGTGTAGACCTGGCTGAATAGTGGTGGTCAATTCTTCAGCCTTGCAATCTGTTGAATGGTGCAATCCCAGCACAAGCTGCTATGGCTTTTGCTGTAGCATCGCTATCATCGCCTCTGGTGATGGTCAAATGGTCATATGGTGTGTGTATGTGTGCTCTCTGTTGTTGTATATGGCAAGGCATGACGTTACCATTGATCACAAACGCGAATGGAACAAAGCTAAGCAAGAGTAGTGGCACTGCACCCTGGTTAAATGAGGAGAAAACCACGCCATTCCAACTCTATCAGGTAAAGTGTGTAAGAGGACATGTAGGGACTCTGCGCCCTGGGTAAAGTATGTACGTTTGTACATGTATAGATAGTCATTCTTAGCCGTTTGTATTTGTGTGGGGTGGTGATGTTGTCTTTACCGCCGCTAGCGCGCTGGTGATGTTGTCTTTACGGCCGCTGGTAATGTTGTCTTTACGGCCGCTGGTGATGTTGTCTTTACGGCCGCTGGTGATGTTGTCTTTGCGGCCGCTGGTGATGTTGTCTTTACGGCCGCTGGTGATGTTGTCTTTACGGCCGCTGATGATGTTGTCTTTGTGGCCGCTGGTGATGTTGTCTTTGCGGCCGCTGGTGATGTTGTCTTTACGGCCGCTGGTGATGTTGTCTTTGCGGCCGCTGGTGATGTTGTCTTTGCGGCCGCTGGTGATGTTGTCTTTACGGCCGCTGGTGATGTTGTCTTTGTGGCCGCTGCTGATGTTGTCTTTGCGGCCGCTGGTGATGTTGTCTTTACGGCCGCTGGCGATGTTGTCTTTACGGCCGCTGGTGATGTTGTCTTTGCGGCCGCTGGTGATGTTGTCTTTGCGGCCGCTGGTGATGTTGTCTTTACGGCCGCTGGTGATGTTGTCTTTGTGGCCGCTGCTGATGTTGTCTTTGCGGCCGCTGCTGATGTTGTCTTTACGGCCGCTGGTGATGTTGTCTTTGCGGCCGCTGGTGATGTTGTCTTTACGGCAGCTGGTGATGTTGTCTTTACAGCCGCTGGTGATGTTGTCTTTGCGGCCCCTGGTGATGTTGTCTTTACAGCTGCTGGTGATGTTGTCTTTACGGCCGCTGGTGATGTTGTCGTTACGGCCGCTGGTGATGTTGTCTTTACAGCCACTGATGATGTTGTCTTTGCGGCCGCTGGTGATGTTGTCTTTGCGGCCGCTGGTGATGTTTTTGCGGCCACTGGTGATGTTGTCTTCACAGCCGCTGGTGATGTTGTCTTTGCGGCCGCTGGTGTTGTTGTCTTTGCGGCCGCTGGTGATGTTGTCTTTACGGCCGCTGGTGATGTTGTCTTTACGGCCGCTGGTGATGTTGTCTTTGCGGCCGCTGGTGATGTTGTCTTTGCGGCCGCTGGTGATGTTGTCTTTACAGCCACTGGTGATGTTGTCTTTGCGGCCGCTGGTGATGTTGTCTTTACAGCCACTGGTGATGTTGTCTTTGCGGCCGCTGGTGTTGTTGCCATTTGTGTTGATCTTGCTGCTGCTGCTGCTGTTGCCGCTACTGCTGCTGCTGTTGCCGCTACTGCTGCTGCCAAGGCTGCTTGTTTGACAATTTTCTTATGCAAGACTACTATTGTGATTTGTTTTTTTGTTTTTTCAGTTCTTTGTTGTGCTGGAGGATTCCGTAATGGACCAGTATGTCAACCTCTTGTCCTTTCTGCCAGTAAAGGAGATTCGGCGAATAGCAAGAGAGAATAGGGTAAGTTACTACTGTGTCGTCGGTGTACCTGTATGTGTTGGTGTACCCGTATGTGTGGGTGTTCTTGCTAACATTGTTCTATGATCTGGCCAAGATCAGCGCACAGCGCAGTGTGCGCAGTGTGCACAGCTGGTCTGCCTATCAACGTGTGTAACTCCTTTAGCTTAGTGTGGTTTCATCGCAAGCTAGATGGCGGACATTGTGCTTATATCCGCTTGAACAGCAGTTGAGTTTCTCGCGAGGCGTGCATCATCATCGTCCCGCCATTGCCGAGTGAAGCAGCCATGGTACCGGCCCGTGCCTCGGTGGATGCTCTATGTTGGCAGGCCCAAAGATTATAAAATATAAATTCAGTGCCGTTGATATGCTGCAGGAGAAGAAAGTTTAGTCAATGAAAGCTACGAGGCATTGTGACTTTCGGTCAGAATATATTTTCACTCACACCCATTGGCACTCAATGTAATGCATGGATATGGGTGAGCATGGATGCACATTCCACCCACCCCATCCCCATAATAAGGTATAAACATATCGTTCTTGCGCGAAAAATTCAGGGTTTAATATCCGGTTTGGGCTGCTGGAGTGACACAACCTCAAGAATTGTTGAACTATTCTGTCAGTGGATACTCAAAAATACTTCATTATTGCTTTTGTGGTTGGAGCGTTTTGTTCTGCCAAATGCATGTGTACTGGTCCTACCAAGAGTACATAACCCGTAACACAACTGAGGGGAACCCGGGGAGTCGCAGGTACTATTGGATCAAAAACAACGGTGCCCTGTCTCGAGACCGGCCTTGCGCTGGTGTGAAGTGTGCGCATGACACCAGAAGATCCGACTACGCTCGACCAAGACCCTATGCAGAGCTGGATCAGCCGTTGCACACTCTGGGGGGTTATGTACTCTTGGCCCTACATCTAATCTCTATAGCTGTGCATGTGTTTGTGTGTTGTGTCTGTGCATACTCGATACATCTATGCTGTTTAGATTGATAAAACTCCATGGGTGCGCCAGACGCTGCTTGGCAAGGAAATGATCAACGTTGTACATGGTGGTAAGTTCAGGTCGGTCGCCTTAGGAGGATTCTTTGCAGCCGCTCAGTGATCCGCAGTCAAGTGGTCATCTGTTACCGTGCTTAGTGAGTGACAAACGAATTCTTAGTGAGTGAGCAGAGCTGAGCACACTATGCACGGAGGAGTTTCTCCAAAATGAAAAAGATTTTTTAAAAAACACTTTCCCGTACTTTCCAACTAAAGTTCTGAATACGAAACTGGCCAAGGACGTGAACTGAACTTTCTCGTGTCTTTTCACTTACATTGTGCAGTGTAGTCAGTCACGTGCACAGATGTGATCATTGACTGCGCTGTGTGTTTCACGTAGATCTCCAGAGCCTAGATTTCAGCTCCCAAATTGGAAAGTTCGTTTCATGATTTTATTGATTTCCTAGGATAACACGTTCTTCTGTAGCGCTTTCTTCGGCGGCGCTTCCCTTGCCAGCACTTTCTTGCAGCTCACGGTGTTCTTGCAGCTGTTTGATGAGACTACTGTATGCGGTGGTGATCATTGCCAATGATTACTGCCCTTGCCAGCTTCCTGGCAGTTCTTGTGCAAGTACTGGTACTGCTGTATTGGGCATTACAACACAGCTTGGTGTGTATAATAAATAATAAATTTCACGGTTCGCGTGAGACTCGGCTGAAAGCCGAGTTTTCCGCATCCGCCGTGGGAACGCCACCACCCTCTAGGATCAAAGGCGCAGATGCAGCGCCTAAACGGTGGGAGGTGAGTAGATCAGACCCACCACCAAGTGGTCAAAGACCGAAATCCCATTAGCTGCATCCATGTTACCCTCGTGCCAGGCCACGAGTTCCCAATTAACTGTAGGTCGCAGCACGGCTGGAAAAATTCCTTCCGCTTCCAAGCAGGACTTGAACCTGGTACCCTCTGTTTCTCAATCATGGTCTTAGACCATCCCACTATGCCTGCCTGCATATGGTGTGTATACGTTATACAAAGTGTACTAGGTGTTGACATGTCTGTTACTCGTACCTGTAAAATACACGTTTGTGTGTGTGTATGTGTGTGTGTGTGTTTGTGTGTTTGTGTGTGTGTTGTTACCTATGCCGGTGGTACACTGTAAAAGAACGCCATTATGAGGTTGCCCTTGCTGTGACACAAGTACTCTACGGCAGATCATGGACACCTGAAATTGCTCAAACGCTTACTGGTAAGTCTGATGTTCAGGTCAAGGTATACTGTACCTCTCTGCTAGTCTCTGGCTCTCTGTCAGGCCAAGACGGGATGGGAGGAATATTGTATGGAGGATGGCAGATGGTGCTCTTCGTGTACTGATACAGTCATGTACATGTACCTTCATTGCTGCTTTGTGAAGTACCGTTGACCCCCCCCCCCCCCCCCCACACACACACACACAGACACACATGCATGCGCGCTCACACGCTGTTGCTGTCTGCCTGGTTTTACGGCAAAGGGCGGAAAGTGGATCAAGCCTGTCAGGTACAGTACGATTTACAACAACGTAACAGCAACGTAACCGGGGGCACAGGGTTAGGCTTGCCGTGCTGGCCCGAGCACCGTTCTCATCCAGTGCAATGCCTGAACTGGTGGTGGTGGTGGGTGGGTGCGTGTGTTCGTGCGTGCATCCGTTTATGCATGCGTGTATTTGCAGACTTGCGTGCTTCTCTTGCGACGGGCGTATACATGGTACATGGTGTGTGTGTGTATGTGTGTGTGTGTATGTGTGTATGTGTGTGTGTGTGTGTGTGTGTATGTGTGTGTGTGTATGTGTGTGTGTGTGTGTGTGTGTGTGTGTGTGTGTGTGTGTGTGTGTGTGTGTGTGTGTGTGTGTGTGTGTCTGTGTGTCTGTGTGTCTGTGTGTCTGTGTGTGTGTGTGCGTGTCTGTGTGTGTGCGTGTGTGTGTGTGTGGTGTGTTGCGTACAACAGTGTATTGCATGCACCGTACCGACACCTTTGTTGTGGCTTTGCAGGTAAAAACTTTGGGTGGGGGGAGGGTGTCGGCGGTACTTTGCAGTAATTATCAGCATTTGTACTTTGAAGCACTGTTTTCAATGCTGGATCACTCGTTACTGGTGTTGTGTGTAAACCACTGTTTTCAATGCTGGATCACTCGTTACTGGTGTTGTGTGTAAACCACTGTTTTCAATGCTGGATCACTCGTTACTGGTGTTGTGTGTAAACCACTGTTTTCAATGCTGGATCACTCGTTACTGGTGTTGTGTGTAAACCACTGTTTTCAATGCTGGATCACTCGTTACTGGTGTTGTGTGTAAACCACTGTTTTCAATGCTGGATCACTCGTTACTGGTGTTGTGTGTAAACCACTGTTTTCAATGCTGGATCACTCGTTACTGGTGTTGTGTGTTAACCACTGTTTTCAATGCTGGATCACTCGTTACTGGTGTTGTGTGTAAACCACTGTTTTCAATGTTGGATCACTCGTTACTGGTGTTGTGTGTAAACCACTGTTTTCAATGCTGGATCACTCGTTACTGGTGTTGTGTGTAAACCACTGTTTTCAATGCTGGATCACTCGTTACTGGTGTTGTGTGTAAACCACTGTTTTCAATGCTGGATCACTCGTTACTGGTGTTGTGTGTAAACCACTGTTTTCAATGTTGGATCACTCGTTACTGGTGTTGTGTGTAAACCACTGTTTTCAATGCTGGATCACTCGTTACTGGTGTTGTGTGTAAACCACTGTTTTCAATGCTGGATCACTCGTTACTGGTGTTGTGTGTAAACCACTGTTTTCAATGCTGGATCACTCGTTACTGGTGTTGTGTGTAAACCACTGTTTTCAATGCTGGATCACTCGTTACTGGTGTTGTGTGTAAACCACTGTTTTCAATGCTGGATCACTCGTTACCATGGTTACTGGTGTTGTGTGTAAACCATCCCTGTATTCATGTGTCTTTTTTCCGGTTTCTTGATCGCAGAGGAGATGCTGCAAGTGCTATCAACTGAATTGCCTTTCACCAAGCTGCCAGCATCGTCGCTCAAAGATGCTGACATCGTAAAGCTCATCAGCAAACTGAAACTGCTAAACAAGTCCAACCAAAAGTGGGATAGCAGCAAGGTGTCACGTAAGCTGGACCTTGCTTCTTGCGCGGTCACTAACTAACTCTTGTTTATTATTGTGCAGACTTCTCTGCACTCGTTATACTCCAGTCGACTGGTTTTGGTCCGAGAATGCTGCCATGCAGCGTTCATTCCCAATCGAACATGGTTGAACAAGCGGTCACGTGCTCCTGCGTGCCCAAGTCACCTGGTCACCGCGCCAGCAGGCGACAACTTTCACACCAAGGTTCAACTCGAGTTCAACTCAAGGGACAGGACTGCACCCCAAAAAAGGTCAAACAGGCTGTAACTTGTACCCTGCAGGCACGGTGACCAGGTGACTGGTGTACGCAGGAGTATGTGACCGCTTGTTCAACCATGTTCGATTGGGAATAAAGGAGGAACATCGCAGCCTTTTCGGACCAAAACCAGTCGACTCAGCGTCCAAAAGACTACAACATATGGGCCAATCGCGGTCATCCGTGCTTTTATAAGAACGAAATGGCGCTTTTAGTGACATTTTGCATACAAATCCCCATCTAGTAGGGCGCAGTCACCCAGTTTCAGTGGAAGTGCGCGAGTTCGATTGGGAATATAGGAGGAAGGGAGCATCTCAGCTTCCTCGGACCACGACCATTCGACTCAGCACCCCGAAGACTACAACTGGTGAAAATTTGATTTTAGGCTTAACTTCCCCTTTAATAGTGGTTAGGTTTTGTCAAAGCCACACTGTAATTATAGCCTAGCTTGTAGTGTTGCTAATCTGCAGAGTCTGAGACTAGTGGTCCAATGGCATAATGGCCTGTGTGTGTGTGTGTGTGTGTGTGTGTGTGTGTGTGTATGTGTTGTGTGTGTTGTGTGTGTGTGTGTGTGTGTGTGTGTGTGTGTGTGTGTGTGTGTGTGTGTGTGTGTGTGTGTGTGTGTGTGTGTGTGTGTGTGTGTGTGCGGGTGCGGGTGCGGGTGCGGGTGTATGTGTGGTGTGGGTGTATGTGTGCGTGCATGTGGGTGTGGGTGTACATGTGTGTGTGCGCGCATGCATGTATGCACGCGTGTGTGTGTTGTGTGTATGTCTCATTTTCTCTTCATTGTAGAAATCGTGTCTGCACTACGCACTGGCGTAGTGTCCTGCAATGCCCAAGTGCTCACAGAGGTCTCAGACCTGCATGACATTGACCTGTTGTGTGGGAAATACTCACTCTTTAGACATGGTAAGCAAGATAAACATGATGACATAGCTAAGATGTGTACAGTCAACTTCGCTAATAACGACTGCGGATATAACGACAATTCGCGAATAACGACAGAATTTCCATGCCCGGAGCGAAGTCCCATCTAACTGTAATACATCTAATGAGACATCTAAGGAGACTTCGGGTATAAGGACACTTCCCGAATAAGGACACTTTTCTGATGCCCCGCCGAGTGTCGTTATACGCAAAGTTGACTGTATGTACCCTATGTGTGTGTGTGTGTGTGTGTGTGTGTGTGTGTGTGTGTGTGTGTGTGTGTGTATGTGTGTGTGTGTTTGTGTGTGTGTGTGTGTGTGTGTGTGTGTGTGTGTGTGTCACGTGTGTGTGTGTGTGTGTGTGTGTTTGTTCCCTCTGGGGACGGTTTGAATTTTCCGAGCTCCCTCTGGTTGTC